TTTAGATTGCTAAAACTACATGTTAGTCAGTATAATAATTATTTTACTAGTATAAACGCACAATAGTTATGCTGATAATTTACTTTCAATTAGAAAATCATGCCAATCAAAATAAATGAACTAATAGTATATAATTTTACCTATGGATTAAAATTGCTTCCAAAAACATTTATTAATTGGTTTTTGTCTTTTTGTTGAAGTACGTCTTATTGCTTGACATTGCAACCAAACATTAATTATTTTTTTCTCAACTCTTACAAAATTCCTTCTTTCTCTCTATATATTCTTTAAATGTATCCATAACTCTCTGTTTGTTGACCCACCAGTTAGTTGATTTTCTTCTTTGCTACATTTAAATCCAACTTAGCCTTGTTGTATACACTATCACATATATTATTCAGAAAATTTTAAATATCCATTTTCACTTTCTCTCATTCTGTTCGGCTCTCGCCTGTTTAAACATGAACAATTATATTATACGTTGAGAAATTATATTTGAATAATTTTTAGTACAACAAAGACATAAAAATAGAAAAGAATAAAGTGTGTAATAAATTACGTGAAGGATAGAAACAAAAAATATATATATTATAAAGATGTATTGTAAAAATTACTATATAAATAATATAATCATTTTATTTTATTACTTTCTATTTACCATTTTTATTAGAAGCAGTGGGATTTATTAAAATATGAATATAGAAGATACTAAAACTCACTTCCAAAAATGCTAGCCTGAGAGTGAATGAAGAGACTCTTGACAATTTTACAAAGTTTAATACCCAAACACTGATTTCTGAAACATTGATTTGTAATAGGGTGTTAATGCTTCTTGTACTTCTCTTTAGTAAACTCTCTTTGTTTAAAAGAATTTATAGACACAACCATTGTATTGCCCTTTAATTGTATTAGTTCCACGAAAAAAAAAAAACTGTAAATTTGGAAATATAATTTAAGTGTTATATTATTATTATTTCATTTTTTGTTTTGATTTTTTCATTACATTGTTTATTTTATCACATGTTTTCTCTCTTATATGTAAAAACTATTATAAAAAATTGAGGAAATGTTAACAAGTTTCTTAAGGATACTAATTCAAAAAATTTAAAATAAAAAGTTATTAACATTACCATTAATACACTTTTATCGTAGTTTTTAACACACCCTTAACATAAACCTTTTATTGATTTCTTAATTAACCTTATATTGTGAAAATTAAGTAGAAAGTAGAAACTAAAATGATTTTGAGACGTAACCACTAACACTCATGGACCATGAAGCATCCACGTGTACCATCATGTCTTGATTTCAATCATACAAATCAACGAAAAATGCAGATTGCAAGGGTTCCACTTCGAAGCAAACAGAACCATAAAGTTTACTCACGAAGCCTGTTCTAACTGTTCCCCTGCCATGGCATGTGATGCACACATTGCTTAGACCAAAATCAACCTGCACCCGTTAAATCAATGGGTTGTGATATGTGTATTCAAGAAGCATCATTGTGATTTGTGATCATTACACGATTTGAACAGCATAAATTTGCCCTTCCTTTTCCAATAGTTTCGCGCATATAAAGAATGAAGATTATGACAAGAATGTGGTCACAAATGAAGGTTGATCTTGATCCTCCAATTAACACACGTATATGAGGCACATTGAACCACTAATCCATCTTTCATAAAAAAATGAAACTGGCATCCATTATTTATTTATTACCTTATTTCATATGTAATTTGAATTAGAAGTCATCTTTGTCAAATTAAAATAAACTAAAAATGGTTGAATGTGGCAGTTAAAAGTCATCCTTCTATCCATGAAGCAGAATAACCATTGTTTTATTGAAAATGAAAGGAATTGGATCCGTTCTGGATCATGTTCTACAAACATTGATGCATGAGAAAGTAACAGAAACGAAAATAAACCAAGAAACTGTCTTCAATGCATTTTTAATATTTTATTGTTAAAATTGTTAATAACAAGGCAATCAGAAATTAAAATATATATTATTAGTATTTTCTATAAATAAAGATAGATATTGTTGCTATCTAGTTAACTTTAATTTGTACGTGAACACTCAAATAACACTAATATTCATTTAATATCTATTATTTCTCCCTATTTTTTCTTCTTATCGTATTATATCACCCCATTATATTTATAATTTCTTCTTTTCTATTATTTAGTCTTTCAAGAAGTCTCAAGCATTATTTTTTCACTATTATTAGCTGTATTTTGGTGGTAATGAAAGCCAAAGTCAGTGTACACGTTAGAGGTCAGAAATTCTTTTAAGAAAAAACGGCTCTATTGGTCTAATTTGTGTACATTACAAACAAGAAAATGATTATATCAAAATATTTTATATTTCGGATCTAAACTATGAAAAAATTAATCCATAACCTGTCATATATTTAATATAAATAATAGTTTACAAAAATAAAAATAATATATGCAACTGGAAATATCTAATAAAAAAATTAAAATCTGTTTGAAAGTACAAGAAAGACATTACGCTTGAATAAGCAGTAGCCTGCTTATCATTAATTCACTTTTATGTTTAAATAAGAATTTGGTTGTTATAATTTTTAATTTTTTTTTGCTAATTTTTTAATTATTTAGATTTTGGTCTCTATAATTTTTACATTTTATTATTTAAAAATTTACTTTTACCGTCAGAGTATTAGTCCTTGTGAATTTTGACTCTCATATTCCCACAATTTACTTTTACTAAAGTATTGGACATTATTATAAGTACCTAGAATCTAGAGATTTATAATGATTGATACCTAAAAATATAAAAACCATACAAGGAACTAAAATTATAGAAATAATAAAAAATATATGAAATAACATCTAAGCATATAGAAATTATAGATTGTTTTTCTGTACGTGTATGCCACTTAAAAAAAAGAAGAATATCTAAAACCAAATACTATTTAAATTTAAAAATAGAATGTATTTAGTAGCTAGAAATTTCGAAAATTTGGTTGGGTTTGAAAAGTGATGAGGTATATTATGCTCCACATAACTAATTGTTGGTATGGTGTTGCCACGACTGAGGGGATTTCCCACAACCATGATTTTATGGATGTCGGCAGCCAAAAGTTTGACGTCAATGCTTCCCAATTATCAATAAGACAATAACTCTACACGTGCAATGCCACGTGTAAGATGACGTCACGATTTATAATAAAGTAAGATAAAGATTCCATTTTATTTAAACTTAAAAATAATATAAGATTTTAATAAAAACTTTACAGTAATTCTATTTGGTTTAAACATTATTATTTTTAATAAAAATTATTTGTAATTTAAGTAATATAAATTGAAATCTCTTATTAAAAAAACCTACCTCATGAGCATAAAAAAGTAATGGGTTTATGACTTATGAGTACACAACGTCCCCCAAAAACTCACCCACACAAATCAAATTAAACGGATCAAAGTTTATCTATGATCCACCCACACACACAAATCTTAGATTACACGGCCCGTAACCAATACAAACATGCACCGGACCCAAATTATGCCCATCAGAGACCAAATACAGATATACGAAAACAGAAGAATAAAAAGCATATATAATTCGACAACAATTAATAGTTACCTTAAAGGAATAACACACAAAACATGAAATGTTAATATATGATAAAAGGTCACTCGAAATACCAATAACAAAACTAAATCATATAATTTTTTATTTTGTGAAAAGAGGTGAAAGGAAGTTAAGAAGAGATTTAAAAAAATCTTATAATAAACAATATTTATAATAATTTAATCGATGTTACTAATCTCACGTAATAGGATAAATTTTTTGTATTTGCTAAATAAAAATATTTGCTTTAAAATATAGACCCAAAATTATATATAAGTAACGAGTTAATTTCATAATACATAGACGGTTGATAAAAAAATGATTTAACTTGAGTTCAATATTAATCATAATCGATATAAAATTACACGGTCTCTGTTTCTCTCATGTGCTAAGAAATTAATTGAAAGAAGAATAAGTATAAATCATTAGATCTAATAAAAGTGGTTAACATTATAATCTTCAAGCTATGGTCATATAATTGGTCATAAACATTTTTTCTTAGGAAAGTTAAATAATAATTAAAAATATTTTATAATTTTTTTCAAAAATTCTACTTTTAATAATATCATTCTTTTTCCTCAAAAAGGTAATCTCATTCTCAAAAAATGTTTTTTAATTGAAAATGATAGATTTTATGTACTTTCTAACATATTTTTGTCATTAAGTTTTTTCTTAAATATAGTTTTATTTAATATATATCATGATAATAAGAATGATATATCTATTGGTGGAGGCAAAAATATTTCCATATCTATTTTTTTAATATTTTTTCTTTACCTTTCTTTTTTTATTTATGTTTCTCTATTTTCTATCATATTATAACGACTATATTTTCCCCTATATCTATTTCCATATATTTTTTTTATCCCATACTTTCTCTTTTCTTAAAAGAAATAAAACTTCTCAAAATGGATTAAAATAGTACTTGTCCGTATCAGCTCATTGAATAGCATAAAATTAGTAATTTCTCCATGCGAATTAATTATTAAAAGTATTTGTCGTATGAACAACGAATCATATGTATTGTATATTAACAACGAAGAATTCGTCTACACCGACTGCAGTTTAGTAATCCACTTTCACTAAATTAATCAATTGAATCATAACACCACACAGATTTTGTAGACGAGAGAGACAGAACTTGACGAATACAAAATCTTGACGAAGAGAGAGACAGAACTTGGCCATATATTAACCAAAGCAAAGATTTTAACTCCACACAGATTGCAAGCTCTATTATCAAAATATAGAGACAAAGCCATTAAGCACACACACTATGTGCTTACACTTACACTTACGCGATCACTAGCAATGATCTTTATTATAAAGTTTAAAGAAACAGCGATATATGTAGCTCACTTATTACCATAAGCTACCACATCTCTGTTACTACATTTTTCATTCCTTATTCTTCACAACGCAAGTCACACTCCATGAGTGGTCCAAACCCACACCTCATAGACAACTTCATTAGCTCACTCGCCATTTGAAGCTTCTCCTTCTTCTCAAGTTTCTCACCTTGCTTCTGCATTATCTTCTGCAACGCTCGGCACTGGCATTGTGGGCTGTTCAACTCACTCATCTCACTGCAACACATTTGTTCGTGGTCTTCGTCATTATCTTCATTCTTCCACCGAATCAAATTGATGCTTCCTCTCTTGAGGAGAACATTCTCCTCTTCCTCCGGTTGAATCTGCTCCATTATGTGTTTCATGCAGGGTTTCAGGTTCACCCTCTTGAGTTGCTTGGCGCAACTACGTTGTTCTTGCCATTTGCAGGCGTAACAAGTGTGAGCTACAAAGAGAAGAAGAGTGGCAAGAAGGGGTATTACTAGAATCGTGTGCCTGGCCATTTGAGTGCAATGTGAGTGTGTGATGTAACTTTTGGGTTTTGATTTTGATGGGGGGGAAATGAAGCGTGGAAGGGTGAGTGGGGTATTTATAGAATGATTTGGGGTCTTGCATGTGAAGTATACGTGGAAGTGATGTGGTTGAGTGGTGCTTTGGTGTTTTGGTTGGGTGGCTGTGTTAGCTTCAATGTTTATTTCTTTGCTTACACGTAATGGTTTCATGCATTTTGCTATGGGAAACTTTGGCTATGTGCTTTTGTTTGCTGTCCCCAAAGGCCATTTGGCTTAATTGGGATTTTTTATGCATACTTGAAATTAAAATTATATTTAATTCATTAGGATCTATAAAAACAGGATTAATGCATACTTGAAAATAAAAATTAGAATGATAAACATCGTAAAATAAATAATTTTGTCAAATTATTTTGCATATATATATATATATATATATATATATGTATATATGAGTTAAAATAAAATTCTACTTAAATTTATGAAAGATAATTAAAAAAAATTATTTTTAACCTTGTTTGTAAGTCTTTACAGGTAATTGCTTTTTATCTTTTTTATTAATAGAATATTATGAAAAAATGCATTTGATTTAAGAAATATGACTCTTTACATGTAAGAAAAATGTTAATGTTAGTTATTTTGTCTACAAAACGGGCCCTCAGGGCCAAAAGATTAATCTTAAGGCCCAAAATATTAATCGTAGTTTTGAAAGTTTATATGCAACTAAAATTATTTGGAAAATATATTTTATTGCTTAAATAGATATTTTTATATTTTTATAATTCAAATATAATAAATATGTTATTTTTTTAATAATTTTTGATATTTTAATTCTTAAACTCATTAACAAAATCTTATATATAATAGTTAAATTCCTTTTGATAAATAGGCACACCTTTTTTATTTTATTTTTATCTTAACACCATTTTATGAACAGTAATTTTTGTTGATAGATGAAAACTTATGATTATCAATCTTTTTTTTTTTTCTTTGTTGGCTCATGCTCATAACAAACCGTAATAAGATTTGTTGAAATATACATGATAAAGTTTAGGTAGGTTCGCATATTAAAAAAAATCTAACATATTTATTATTGACACAAGTAAAATTGGATAGAAATAATACACTTTTCGTAGTCTAATGTATATACAATTTTATTCTCTTTAATTTTAATTGTTCACATTTAATTCTCATAAATTTTAAATTCTCAAAATATGTAATCAACTTTAAAATTAAAATTTTTATTTAAATATTTTTATATTTATTTTTATAATGAAAAGTGGATACATAAAATATTTTTTTAACTTTTGAATTTGAAATTGTAAGAAAAATAATAAATTTAATTAAAATAATATATATATATATATATTAATACTAGTATTTTGAACTCATATACTATACGAAAGTATTTTGTCAAAAATATAAATTTTTCAAAAAATATTTTAATGAATTAAATATTTATAATGTATATAAATCTTAAAAGAAAGAATTTGAATAAAAGATAAATGGTCATAATAAAATTTTGTAATAAAGAAATATATGTATATATAAAAATATTATAATTTTATCTAAAGAAAAAATTAACAAATAAAAATTAACAATAATTTTTTATATTTTATATCTTTTCAAAAACTTCTTTAAACGTAAATAAATAGTAAGAATAATATTATTTAGATTCAATAGATTATAATTGTGCTTGTATTACATATGTTGCATAAAAAATATTATTTTAAATTAAAATATAAAAAATAAAATTTAAATATTATCAATAAATAATAAGTTTACTGTAATAGTAATTGTAAAATTTATAAAATATTTACAATATATTTATTATTTATTATTCACTATATAATTTAAATATTAATGTGATTTTATTAACAAAAAATCTATGTGAAAAATATTTTATGTGTGTTATATATAAAAAATATTTTAAAACAATTCAATCTCATATTAACAATGTAATAATTAAACTGTATTAGTCTAATTAAATGATATAAAATAGTAAATATTTTTTTATTAAAAATATAAATCAAAATAAATTTGTTGGTTTACTTTATTATTAAATATATTTTTATATTAATCTTATATAACTTTATATAAATAATATAATAATACAAAAATTCAATGCATAATTATAGAACAAAGTTATATATATATATATAGACTGTAGTATGATGTTTAGACTTGTTAAATCTATTTACATATCTTCTTTAGAGGTAATGTTAGCCCGTGATTTTTTTGGTAGGCTATTATTGTGAGAGTATAATTTGCTTTGGTTTGTTTTGTAATTTTAACAGAAAAATCAGTCTTTTTAGAATATTTTTTTGAAGTTCTAGATTATTGTGTTGATGACTCAACAATTTGAATTACTTTCTGAATATATATATATATATATATATATATGAAGTAGGGTATGTATTTAGATATCCATACTCGTATCTATCCCTATTAAAATTTATAAATTTTTATCTATACTTATAAAAAAGACTACAGCCAGAAATTTTTAGAATGTTTGCTATTTAATTTAATGACAAAAGTTATATATATACACGCGTTAATTCACTGAAACGACGAAAAAAAGGAGTTATGTCATTATAGAATAAGTTATTTTACCAGAAATTGAGGTTTTAGTAAATTAATGTTAAAGTTAAGCAACATTGTCGTGGAATTTAGCAAAAAATAATAAAATTTGAAAAAAATAAAAAATGAAAAATGTTGAAAGTTCAAACTGAAATTTAAAATAAAATTTTAAAGGTTAAAACGCTAATTTTACAATGACAAAATTATTTTTCATTCAAATTAAAATTCATACCTTATTAAATGTAAAGCTCAGTTGATGAGCCGATTAAGACGTGGCTTCGAGCTGATTCAGTTTATTCAAAGTGCAAAAATATATTTTGAGTCCAGATCTCTATTCTAAAGTATGAATAAAAAATAATTACTTTATTTATTTCAATAAAATTTAATGAACAAATCAAGTTAGTCGACTTGATAGACCGTTCTGTCATTTCCACTTAAATGCAATATTGACCATATGTCATCATTTTTTAAATTTAATTAAAGACATGTTTGAATTAAAAAATATTTTAAATAAGCTTTTCGGTTAATAAGATAAATTTTTATCTAACTAAAGTACGTTGCCAATAACAATTTTAATATGTATAACTATTTACCAATTTCATTGTTAGAAATATAAAAAAAATTTAGTAAATAACTATACTCCGTACCTTGAATATTCTTTGATTTTTTTTACTGCATCAAAATTAATTTTTAAATATTTCAATGATATAAATATTTATTACATATCTATATATTTTTTATTTTAAACTGGAAGCATTCACCAACGTTGTTTCCAAGGATTACATTATTTTATATTCATTGAGAATTGTACCCTTGAATAAAATCACTTTCATACTCTCCTCACCAAACATTAAATTCTACTCGCCAGAGTTTTGCCAAACGTGTTATCTGTCCCCTGCACAGGGAAAGTGTCATTTACTAAAGGTATCGCGTGATTTTCCTTAACCTTATATGAGAGTAGAAATTCATATTCACACGTGATGTTCACTGCAGCTTCGCTTGCCCAAATCGCCCCCTTACGTTTCTCTATATTTCATTTTCCACAGCTATTGTTTCTGCATTCTCTCCTCCAAACAGAGCACATCGCAGAGAGAGAGGTTCTACCTTATCCAGTTTAGGGTTTCAAATCTTCCCTGTGTTTCAGACGTATCAAAACCCTAAACAGGATCAGGTAGCCTCTAACTACCGCCCCTCATTAATCTTCTTTTTGAGATCTGATTTTGCTCGCTTTACTTTTAGGGTTTAGCTTGGTGTTCTTAGTGATGATCGTTTAAGTTTGATTGAAGTTTGTTTCATTTATTGGGGTTTTGATTTGCTTTCGTTCAGATCTTTCTGGTGGAAATCATGTTTTTTTTTTGTTCGAACAAGGAAATTCGTTTATTTGCTGTTTCTTTGTTTGCTGATCATGTGTAGTAATTTAGATCTAATCGGTATGCCTTTGACGTTAACCTGTTATCTTGCGATTATTACTTTTTTCTTTGTCAATTTTTTGTATATAAAATTATAGGCATGTTTCATATTCTACTAGATAGCTTGTTTCGTGCCTTCATGATCTTGTTAGTTAGCCATACTACCGTGTTCGAAGTTTGGGGGAAATCTAGTTTTAAATAAATATTGTCAATTTTGAATCATTTGATTTCATTCTTTTGGGTGTTTCTCAAAACACGAGTTGATGATGATGTAGTTTATGTTTTGGTTTATTGTGTTGTTATTTTGTTTCCTTTGATTTGTGGATGGTTGTTGACAATGTTTTTGGTGTTGTGTGGGGGAGCTTGTTATATTGTTATTCAGCTAACGTGCTGATTCTAAAATCCAGGTCTGAGCAATCTGGTTGGTAGGACCTTCTGTCTTGGAGAGTTAAGTTTCATGTCTGAACTAGACGCACAGATTCCTACTACCTTCGGTAAGTTGGAACTTCTTGACCAGTGTTATCGGTGGATTAATTGTCTTATTCATAATATGCAGTCCTTCAGGGAGGGATAGATGTAAGTTATACACGTGTTCTGTATGGTTGGGATCTTTGAAAATGTTGTCACTCTGATTAATAACATAGCATGTCATTTATTTGAATTTTTCTGCAGCTCCTGATTCTACTATGTAATCTACGGCATGTCATTTATTTGAATTTTTCTGCAGCCCCTGATTCTACTATGTAATCTACGCTTTCTGAGTAGGATTTTTTTGGTAGAACTTCCTTCATAACTTACATATAAAGTTGTCTACAATGCGTCTGTGTATGCCAGGTTGTCTTCATATTTCAACATACGCACATCCAACTAATCTGTTATTATGCAGCTCTATGTTTAAAATCTTGATGTTTTATACTTTGTGTTATATTAGAGGTTTACTATTATTTTAGGCCAAATCAGGTAGATAACATTCCATTGTTGAACAAGATGGTTAAGATGCTGAGACTTGTGTAGAAATTTTCTCAGTAATAGAGGTGTCTTATTTTGTTAGCTTAAGATGCATCTGGGTTTTCACATTTTCAGAGATTGTGTAAAATTAAGCTTACGGTTTTTCACCACATTTTATTGTTTGCAGTGCTTAGTGAATGTGTTTATAGTAAATAGGCTTTACTATTGACAATCTTAGTAGATATATGAATGATTTGTTGGATGTGCAACAACAATTTCAGATCCCTTTGCTGAGGCAAATGCTGAGGACTCAGGTGCTGGGTCAAAGGAGTATGTGCATATTCGTATACAGCAACGAAATGGTAGAAAAAGCTTGACAACTGTCCAGGGATTGAAGAAGGAATTCAGCTATAACAAGATACTTAAAGACCTTAAGAAAGAGTTCTGTTGCAATGGTACAGTTGTTCAGGACCCAGAACTAGGACAGGTATGTGCTGATATCCTCTATTTAGCAAGGTTCTACTTGTTGCTCCAACATTTTTGTTGTGTAGGTTATTCAACTTCAAGGTGATCAGAGGAAGAATGTTTCTACCTTCCTCGTCCAGGTAACTATCCCCCAATCTTTTGTGTTATGCAGTGAATGTGTTGTCCAAATTAGTTTATCCCTTTTAAGTTTCATCTATCCCGCGTACCATGTTTTTTCTAGTTATTCACTTTCTCCTCCGGTATTTAACTTTGCACGCGCTCACACACACTCCTGTATGCATGCCTGTGTATTGGGTCTGTGCCTCAACCTGTTGGTACTTGTTATACTATAATAGATAGATTCTCAAACTTGTTCTGCCTTGTAGTGACTACCAAACATTGATTTATGCCTTCCACTGTTGGAAATCCAATTGACATAACTGGAATTTTTCTATTGAGAATATCTTCAATTAATGAAATCATTTTGCTTTTCCACTCATGTACTTGGAACAGGCTGGTATCGTGAAGAAGGAGCATATTAAGATTCATGGTTTCTGAGCAATTGGAAACCTGAGTGTCAAATCGTACTGGGCTCACTTCAAGTTGGGCGTATATGTGACTCTGGTGTTTCTTATGTTCTGTTTTTCAACATTTGCGATTTGATGTGTGATCATGGAATGTATGACATTACCTGCTATTTGCTTCAATAACATGTATCAAAGAAGTTTAATAGAGTTCTATAAAACTATATTTCACATTTCAGATGCTTCCATGCTCTTGATTTACTGTGCTGGATTTTTATACCAGTCTCGGTAAGTGGTTGTTCAGTATTAACGTTTTGTTAGGAAGTTTTTCGACCAAAAAATAAAATAATAGAGTGGAGGGTCTCTAGTAGCTTTTTTAAAAATAATTTTCAATACTTAGGTTTCGTTTGGTAGGGAAATCTTTTGTGGTAATTTTAATCATGCTCATTTGCTTGTTCAAAATATTCTGATCCTTCAGGTTCTTGTGAAAGTCTAATGTTAATGTTGTCTTGGAATGACGTGGTAGCTATTGTTAACGTGGCTGTAAAATTTACCAGCCGCTGCTAAAGAGACTGGATTATGGCTCTAGGAATTAACTGTTTTGTTTAGCAAGCAATGACTCTCGGTATAAACTAACTCGATCTTAATTGAAGTGAAAGAAAATGTGAAGACCATATAAAGAATTCAAAAGGTGCCTCACCTTGAGGAAGTGGTACTTTCCCCCTCTTACGTTTTGTTGAACTTTGAGGAAAATTACTGTTTGGTAATATTTTTTAGCTCGGTAAAAGTTTATTTTATTGTCAAAAAGTCTGTTTAAGCGAAATATTTTTCTTTGATAAAGTAATTTTTTCCTAGTAGTTTGTACTGTTTTTTTGAAAAATAAAAATACATATATATATATATATATATATATATATATTAATAAAGTGGTAATGGTATCTTAAAAATATTTCTCCAAAATGATTTTTTTTTTTTAAATGCTAATAAGAGCTCTTAAGATGTTAGTTAAAGTACGAGTTATTTTAGCTTAATTAATTTTTTTTTCATTGATAGACTAAACATTTGTTATATTAAAAATGTAAAATATTAATAAATACTTACACGTGTCTTAAATAAATTGTTAAAAAAATAACAATTTGTGTAATGTTTTAAATACGTTTAATATTATTTTTTAAATATAATTAAAGATTTGTTTCAATAGTGCTGACCATTAAGTTATTAATTTTTATTGTGTAAGGTTTAAAATAAATTTTTTATTAGAGAATATTATAATCACTTGGAATATTGTATATTTAAGCTTTGACCTTTAAGAGAACAAAATAAAGGAATATTTATTAAAGAAAATATGTTTATTATATTAAAAATACAAAAATATCTAATATTATTTTTTAAAATAATTAAAATCATTTAATTAGTTGTATTAAATGGTCCTTGGCAAGAGCTAAAATTATTTCATACTTTTGTTTTATCTATTGCACAACCAATCTGAAAATTATCTAAGGAAAAGGCCAAACATAAACAAACTTTTGATATAGACAACTGTATTTTAATATCCTGTCCTCGTCTTCGAAAACAAGATCTTAATTTGTATTTTCTTTTACACGAGGTTACATATCTTTTAAATTTTGCGACAAATTTTTTTGTTAGCGTTTACATTTAAATAAATAACTATTTTTTAAAATTAATGATGTAATCAAAAGAGATATTAATTAACTGTAACAAAAAAGAGAGATTAGATTTTAATTATTTAAACAGTACTTAAATATCTGGAATTAACATTAAGTATAGTTAGATACTGTCAAATTACTATTAACATGATATTATATAAATTAAACTAATTTTTAGATTTTTAAAAAATGGAATATTTTGCTTGTAAATATTTTAATTGATTGTTTTATATACCATAAACTGAGTTCTCATAAATGGTTTAAATTTACAACACTAGATGAAATACTTTTAGTTTTGTGAATTTATGCACACGCATTCACTTACCCTTAAACCTCCCTTCATTTTCCCAATTTTGAATGTGTTATCACCCTTGTTAATAAATCTTTTACATTAATAACTATTTCAAATATATTTGAAGAATTCCAAATAAAAGGTAAAGCATTTTATATCTTTTTTTATATCAAACAAAATATTTTATAATAAATACAATTTTATAATAAGTACAATGTGGTGGCTTTATCCCAAAGCACATCATCATAGGGAAAAAAAGTTTAAAATGCAAGAAAATCTACACATATATGATGTCATTCATCAAAAGAGAAGGAAAAGGAACGACGTCGTTTCTCAGAGTCTGAAGAATCAATTGAAAAACCATAGAAAGAAGAAAGAAAATCTCGAGAGCAGGCATCCTTAGCAGCAATGGAGGAACTATTCGTAGCTATACTATCGATGCTTCTGGTGGGAGCGTTGATCCCTCTCTATCTATGGAAACGCCGTCAGGGTTCTCGATCGCCCCCTCCCCGCGACGAACCACTCCAGGTTTGCAACTTCCAACTTCATCACTTTTCCCTCTTCTCACCGCCATAACCCTAATCACTTCAGCTTTCAAATCAAAACCAAATTCTTAGATCACCAATAACCAATCGTCAGGCTCCGCGGAGAGAAACCGTCGTTCGCGCCACCGCCACTCGTCGCATGCGTCGGCGACCAGCTGCGTCTGGAGCTAGTACTTCGTCCGATCCACCTGCAACGCAAGAAGGTTTCTCGTATAATTTGTTCATTTTAATTTTATTATTTTAATGTTATTTTTGTTTTATTTCTATGTGTAATGCAATGCATCGGTGAATAACAATAATAACCATTTGGAAAGTTTGTTGGATGTAAAATAATGGAAATTTGGTGATATTCGTGTGCTTTGTTTCATGACTTTGCTTTCTCGTTAGATACGTCAATATCTTCATGTTATTGAAGTGTTTAGGTCAGGATGATATTAGGGATATTTGCACCTGTGGAGTCAACTATTTGGCGTGGTTATTTCGTTTGTTGTTTTTGCTATGTGGAAGTATCGTTGGACTGGTTGGTGATAGAAAGCATGATATGTACACTGCTGTCTTGGAAGCGTCTATACCGATTGCATTTTGAAACTGAGTTGCCTTTTTGAAGTGATCAATTCTATGCATTTAAACAGAATCTGCTGATGAAAGTGACGGTGAAGCTGCTGGAGGAGGAGGGTATTATGAGGCTAAAGCATCAAAGAAAAAGGAAATTAAAAGGCAAGAGAGGGAAGCACGACGTCAGGTATTCTTTCTTTATTATGTTTTAAGAACTGATACAGTTCTTTTTAATTGGATATGTTTTTGGCTGGATTCTTGTTATTTGCACGACTTGTAGCCTTCTATGCCAAAGGGCAAAGTAGTTTGAATTTGACTTACAGAAAAGGATGGTTTCTGGAAATGAAAGATGTTATGTGTATTTGAAGGTTTAGTAAGGACGCTGGCTCAATCTATATTATTAATATTCAAACTATCTAATTGCGCTGCCACATGTCACTCTCTCCGGAGAAAGTTACCTGCCCTATGGCTTTCCTGTCATATTCTTAAAAAAGGCAATCATTTTGTTTTGACAACCATTATAGTTTTTCCCGAGGAGTGTGCATGGGTACTGCCCCTAGTTTGTAATTGATTCTCAAACTAATGCTTAAACTGTTGGGTTTTGGATACAAGAATTTTGAGGAAAGACTCGACAGACATTGCATTCAGATAAGGGTGACAAGTGTGTAATTCAAGACAACTCCCCTCCCCCAATCATCCACAGCGTTGTTATGTATTTCTTGAGTTTCTCTTCTTACTGTTTAGATTTTTGGGGGTTTTTATATGTTGATTAAAATGCAAATAGTTTAATTTTGGTCCATCTTTTTTGGCAGGCTGATGAAGCTGCACGAGAGTCAAGACAGGCAAAACAAGATCGTTATTCAGAAATGAGGAGGTTGAAGGATGAGGAGCGCGAGGCACAGGAGCGTATGTTGGTGAGTTCATAACCTTGTTCTGATTTGATTTTAGAATTAGTTTTCTTATGGTTTATTAACTGGCAAAGCTTCGCACATGTTTGCTCATGGTTCATATAGGAAGAGGAGGCCAGAGCTCAGAAGGCTAAGGAGGAGGAGGCTGCTGCATTAGAGTTTGAGAAGTGGAAAGGTGAATTTTCTGTTGATGATGAAGGTACCCTTGAAGAAGTGCAGGATAGTACAGAAGACTTGCTAGTCAATTTTGTTGAATATATAAAGGTTACTCTCTGTTTTTTAATTTATTCATTCTTACTTTCCCTGATTTTTCCTTATTAAATTTTGCCAAAATTTATACATGTCTGTAGGGCATCAAACTTAAAAGCAATTAACTAGGCTTATCATTGTCACCTCACCTTTAGAGGTTTTAATATCCATTCTAATTTTGACTTAATTTTGTGTAATCATTCAGAAACACAAATGTGTTCCCTTAGAAGATCTTGCTGCAGAATTTAAATTGCGAACACAGGTATTCTTTCCCACTTTATTCGTTTACCTGAATCAGCACATATATTACATCCGTTACCACTTCATTTTTCTTAAGTCGGTTTTTGCTACTAGTTATATGGAAGAAGCAGGATAATGTAACAATAGATTTATACTTTGTTAGTTGGTATCTTTTATGGTTTATGTGCGAGAGCTCCACAATCCTATTTAACTATTCTACATATATTTGGTCTAGGGTTTTGTAGTGTTGAAAGAAAGCAAGATTGTTAAGAGAAAAAGTTTTAAGGGAGCAAAAAGGAGATTTGGCTGAGAGAACATAGTATTCCACTTATTACTTTGGTTCTATACACAAGCTGATCCTATGTCCCTGTTTCTGCTAATACACGTGACTGTACTATACTACCACACAATGACTAGTACTATACTACTACTCTATAAACCATCACCCAGTTTAGTCACTCACCACCAACAATTTAATTTCTGTTCCCAAAAATAATAGAATGAAATTATAGTTTTGAACGATAACTAATTCCTTTTCAAGTACTTTACATTACATTAGTACCCATTATTCCTACCCCTCTCTCCGAAGAAAGATACCAGAACAAATTCTTGTTTCCATTTCTTGGGAGAAGAGATGCAGGTGTGTTAAGTTGAACAACAGGTCCATTTTGGTAGTGTGGCTTGTGTTTTACCATTTTTTTTAATACAATTTTGTAGAAATTAACCCAACTAGTGAGATTCATTGTAATGTTTCTAAATAATGAAGAACTATTTTATGCTTTGAGACTACCAATGTATTTGAGGACTAATCATATTGTTATATAGTTTGTACTGTTTGAGTTGTATATTTTTCCTCCACGGGCTTACTTTTTTGACACCCTAAACTGATGCAGGAATGTATCAATCGCATTACATCTTTGGAAAGTATGGGTAAGAATCTCTTTTATTCTGTTTTCTTGAACTGTCTTCCATCAAAAGAAGTATGGGTAATATTTACCCCTCACCTTCTGCTATCAAGGCGGATACCAACTGGTGTCAAAGTTGCTATGTTTGAGTTTTCTGATAATTTTTCATGTTAATATTTACAATTTTAATATATTTTTCATTATACTAAATTTTTTATTATTGCTTTCTGATTTTGACATCTAAGAAGTAAAATCTTCTGCATTCTTTAAGAGTTATTTTGCCTTCGTAGATTATCTTGACTTTATTCCATTTGTAGGCATTCCTACAATAAATTGCATTTTGTAATTTTGAATTCTATTATTTTACTTTTGTTATTTAAAGCTTATAATTGGCACTGCTCTTACTGTGATCATTTTGCAACATAGTTATGACTAGACGAAATCAAAATTCTTATACTGTTCAATTTATTTATTTTTATATATTTACTATTTACAGATTACAGTATCTTACATATTGTTTGTTCCTGCCGGAATATAATAATGAGTTATTTTATGCTTCAGGTCGGCTTTCAGGTGTTATGGACGATAGAGGAAAATTTATTTACATCTCACAAGAAGAGATGAAAGCTGTCGCTGATTATATTAAGCGGCAAGGGAGGGTTAGCATTTCCCACTTAGCTAGTAAATCAAACCAGTTCATAGATTTAGAGCCGAAAGCTCATTACACCGAGGACATAAGTAATGTGGAGGAGATAACTGTCAACTAGCATTGTTTTGACTTATGAGTGAGAGGAAAATCATGTTATGTACACCGAAAAACGACTGCAATGATTTGGTTTGCTTAGGGTTTGGTACATTACTTTGAGCAGATTTAGTATATAACTGCAATTGCTGATTTTTCCTTCCGAATTTATATCGTATAGAAAGATAACGTATACTAAGGCGGATCTACCTACTGGTCTGAAGATTTTACTTCCCAAAACGCTATTTTTAGAAAGTGTATTGCATTTTGTTGGCCTTCGTAAATAAGTTAACATTTCATTCAGAGCCAAGACTTCAGGATGCCTACAATTTAATTACTATCTAAATTTGAAACTTATATATATGGTATTAAACAAAAGACACATTCAAACTTTGGTTATTTTAACCTGAATGTTTTTTGAGCCTCGCCTATTTAGTATTTATAGCTAGAAATTGCTAGTGTATAATGAGGTGAGGATGGGAGCTTCTATTCTTTTTTACTTCTCAAATATTGGTTTCAGCCATGAGATTTTCCTAGAGAAAGTTGAGGGGAGTTACATTTAACTACCTATGGATGGGATATGAACCTAAAATCATCATAGCTGGTCCTATAATGTTTTTCTTTTTTTAAACTGTGCCTATTATACACGATTAAAGATATTTTTTTTCCACGTATTCCTTGGGAGGAAAGTGGGTAGTGAAACGAAGAGGGGGATAAATGTAGTTGGTAATGTGATGAACAAAGAAGAGCAAGGGGTGTAAGATTATAAAAGAGAGAAGGTGATTGATGTCAAACACTCCTACCCTTCTAATGCATTGTTAAACACTCGTTTTTCTTTGCAAGTCTTAAGTTTTCGAGGTAATCATGACATGCTTGTATATCGGCTTCTTCCACAGTTGCACTCTATGATTTGTACATTCACATTTTTTTTCGTTTTTGTAAATTTTATTAATGCAGCAACAGAAGTCCCATGAAACTATGGTGATGATTAAGCGTATTAAATTTAAGAAAACTTGTGAAATTTACTGATTGATACACTAAATTAGTCTTTATATTTTGCGATTGAAGCTCAGAGGAGCATTTGTCCCGCAACCCCACCTAACTCCACCTTATCCCCAGGTAATCTTATTATCTCAAATTAAAATCACATGATCAAATTAGTGAGAATAATTCGGTGGAAGTTAGAAAATGAACCGACCAAAAAAAAAAAGTGGACATGATTTTTTGAGAAAAACTAATAATCTATACACTAGGGGACGTACGTACACAAAGGCCATCTAATTGTAGATAATGGACTAAATATGTACTAAACTTGTATAAGTTCCACACACAATCTTGTATCAGTTACACCGGTATGTACTTTTACACAAAAAGACTGCGTCGCTCATCACATTGTCATATCACATGGATGGTTAGCTATCTGTCAAGTTTGTCTAAGCACCCCGTCGTTGATGAGAGTGATATATGAGAGCAGCCCTGAAGGAAAAAGCAAATACCTTTTAAAGCGGATCTTTACCAAAACCAAGAGCCAAATTCTCTGTTAATTGTGTCCAGGTTTAGTCAAAATGATAGTAGCAAATCATGAAGTGAAAACGTTCTGTCATCAGCAAGAAAGTCATAAACGCTGTGTAAATTACAGCAATGACACTGGTGGAAGAGTGATGCCCTGAACTTTTGGCAGGTCTAATTGGAGGTAGTGCACATTCTTCTCCATTGAAGAACACCTTAGTGGGGTACCCATCATGCATAATATCAAAGTGTTTCTCGTGCTTCTTAGTGAAAGAAATCACAGTTTGTTGCTTTCCTGGCACCTTTGGGTCGTAAGCATGGGTTCCATTGGTTTCTCCAGCCAAATAATTCAAACCCTTTAGTCCATGCAAGAAGACGGTTTTGAGACCCGGAATTCTTGTCCCATTGAAGGAGTACACATCTTCAAAATCTTCGAAAGTTCTGTTCAACTGAATAGCCGTGAACCAATCATCAAAGGAATAGCTTTCCCAATTGAAAAGCGTGATCCTAGCCGTCCATCCATCCTTGTGATCTGAACTCACGTGCCAGTTTATGCTAATGGGACAGTTATCTCCACAGGGTAACTTACTAGGCAAATGCGTGTGCCTGAGTTTGGCCCATGCACGTGCTTTCAAGGTTCTGTTAACAAAAGGGACAAGAAGAGCATCGGGTGGAAGAAGCAAAGGAGAGGCTTTGGAGTTGCACTTCCTTGTATCATCACAACCACAAGCACAAGTGTTACAAGGGATAGCAGATTCATTGTAGAATGCTGAGAATGAGACACAACAACGGGTTTCTTGAGGTTTAGGTTTGGTGATATTGCAAACTATTTGCCAACTAGCCACAGCTGTGGTAATTGATCTAAGCCCACTTGGGTCAGGGAATTCTTGTGCGTCAACTCTAACTGGAGCACTACATTTGTACTGTGGATTGATGACACCATCAATGTTCCACTTTGAAGGGGGAGTGAGAGCGGTTCTGTTGTCTGTATCAGGTGGCATCTTGAACACTTGCAACTGAAAAATTGACCTTGCTTGGTTCTTGTCCATGATTGGAGGCAAAACAGTGCCATTCCTGCAGCACCATGGGATTTTACCAAGCTTCTCATCTTTTGCTTTTTCAGCAGGAAGGTCAAAGAGGATTGGTTTTTTCTGACAGCTTGTGACTTGTGAGAAATCTAAGTCCTTGTAGTACTTTCCAGCAAGACCATATAAGCACTCAGAAGGGTCCCTTTTGCGAGCATATGCTCCTTTTATGGAGTAAATGAACTCACCCTTTTGCCATTCCCATGTCAAGTTCCAGTGATCAAGACGACCCAATGGGTGGTTGTTGTCAATTGTTACTTGGGCGTAGTAGTTGTTCTGGAAGGCTTGAAGCACATCGTATGCTATGGTTAGATCTCCATAGCGACGAGGAGGGTACTTTGTTTTCTTCTGTAGTTTTGCCTTCATTTTGGGGTCCTTTCTGCAGCATACAAACATTCTCGACCCTGGACCATCCACAAGTGTAAAAAACAAATCATATCATGTTTTAAACAAAATCCTATTCTCCATGCCGTATAGTAGTTGCTATTATTTTTCCCTTTTATTCATTTGTTGATACTAAAGGTCTCACGTTATGTAACTAATATTACTCTAAAATATCCATCACTTTTTCTATCACGTAAAAAAATATCATGATATCTACTGTTTTAAATATAAAAATAATTCCAATTATTTTACATCATTTTATACCCTTTCTTCTATAACTCTTATTAGTCTCTTTTACTCTTTGCCCCTCATAATTCAGCATTTTATCACGTTACAAGAGGTGTACAGGGAAAAGTAAAAATTGACATATAAGGAACATTTTTTTTAATAGAGATTGAAAGGAAAGAAAGAAAATGAGAGGCGTAAATAATGGTGTAGTAAAAAAGAAAGAGAAAAAATAAAAAAAGTAAATATAAAAAGTAGTTCGCAAGAACAATTTTGCATGAATAATCAATGACACGAGAGGAGACACGTAGAGATAAATAAATAATATTTATAATATAAATATTTAGAATAATGAAAGATATACCTTTACGACCAGGTGCGGGGCATTTGAATCCATCATTCTCGAGACGTATAGTCTTAGGCATAGGGGTGGCGCCAACTCCCAAACCAAACTGCGTTCCAGTCATCTGAATCCTCACACCCATCTGGTTAACATCACCGGCGGTATCAATCGCCGTTTTCAAATCCGTAACGTCGTTTCCCACAAGGGTGGTTCCGTTCCCAACCTCGGCCGGAAAGTCGCCAGCGTCAATGAGAACGGCACCGTCGGCGGAGACGAGAATCTCCTTATGCTGAAACCCAACGAACATCTTCCAACCCGTCACCTCCTCATCCCCCACGTTCATCAACGACGCTTCCGCCTTGAACGCCCACGCCTGTTTCGACACATTTTTCACGTGCGGAAATTCCTTCTCCCTTCCCAATAAGCTGTACGTCAGGAACAGGCCGTCGCAATTGTCTAGCTCCGTCATTGACGGCGGCGCCGATGCCAGTTTTCCGCCCTCCAAACCTTGTCCATCACAAACCAACAACAACAACAGATTCGCTATTATTGCTACTATTCTGTGCGATAAGGTATTTTTCATTTTCTCCTTTTTTCCAACCGCTATCTTTTGCTTTTATTTCTTTTTATTTGTTTTCTTAGAGTTTCTAAATTGCCGTAGGAGAAAGAGAGGTTGAAAGTGGTGGCGACCGCGTGGGGACGCGGGGAAGGAGAAGGAAAGTAGAGAGAAAAGAAAGAAAAAAGAATGGTATATAATGGGAGGGAAATTTGGAGGAGAATAAAAGAGAAAGAAGTTATGTTCCACTAGTTTTAGCGTTTGTTTCGGATGACAGATAGAATGTTTGATATATTTGGAAGACAAGTAGGAATACAATTATAGAAATGGCATATTCATTGGTTTTGATTCTGGAGTAGTACTGTTGTTAATTACTTGGGAAATATAGATATTTTGTTCACCAATGTTTTCTAGGAAACATGTTTCATTGATATATAGTTTATTATTCAATGGGCAAATTTGGTTGAAAATTGAATCTAATTAACGTATTTATGAGATTTAATTATTTTTTGACAGTGTTGGTTCTGCTAGGCTTTGTTGTATTACCAGACGAATTTCACACGTGTTTCATGTCAAAAACAGTTATATTCACCAAATTGAAAATCATATAAAATTTGTGTAATAATAAAAAATACATTTTTAAAAGTAAAACATGTTATTAATATTTTATTAATTTTAGGGTTTAATAATAAATGTCTTAAGATTTTTTTTTTGAAGCAATGTCTTTAAGTTACTTAAAAAAGAGTATTGAATGAATTTCATGTTTTTAAATTGTAATATACATTCCTCTTTTAATAAATACATTTTTAGTGGTCACCATTTGCGTTAATTTTATTGAGAGGTAGTGAAAGGGTGTGTAACTGTATGGCATATTTTGTTGGAGGGTTTGGTTAATGGTTGTTAACATTGTAAACATAAACTGTTTTCAGAATGGAGATGTCTGTTATTGTCAATTTAATTATCGTTTGTGTAAACTATCATACTAACATATGATGTGATTTAGTTAAATCGATTAACAACTCTCCTTGAGAAATAAGGTAATATTAACAATCTTTAAAAAACTTGTAACGTTAACTAATTATGCTAAAATTAATTTGTTGGTTGTTCATGCATTGAAAATAATGTTTCTCTCACAATGAATTGAAATCTGATGCAATTTAAAATTTAAGAATAAAAAATAAACGAACAAAACACTGTTTGGTGAACCTGGATGAGTGATGATTAAAAGAGATTATAAAAAATTGAACTATCTTAAATATTGAAACTCTTCAACGGGTTTATACATTTAACAAACACATTTTTTAAGTTTTCCCTTCTAAGTTGAGCAAGAGTTTGTTTAGTTAAAAATAATGCCTCTTAATTTAATGGGATTCGTTGAAGGTAGGGTTGATAGAATAAATTTGAGTTCGATGGATCAAATATGCCTTCAGATTAACAAAATTAGATTCTGGTTAAAATTTAGCCTAATGTAACTCGACTCAAAATTCAACTGGCTTAAAGTTAGTCCATTGAATCGATTATTATATTTTAAATAATTTATTATTATTTTGTCAGAATTATTCTTTTTGGTCTTGAATTAATTTAATATTTTAATTTAAACTTAATTGACTCGTTGGGTATAAATTCACTAGGCCTGCAGCTTGTAAAGGATCAAACTGAACTAGTAAATCTGTGGCCCCTAATTACTTAACAAGCAAGTTTTTGGTCAGCAATTGACAAGGTTTAGTCGGATACAAAAACATTAGGCAGATGGGCTGGCCCAAATGGGCTTAACGACCCAGTTATGGCCCGAATTGATTTATGGTCGGGGTTCGGGTTTATTTTTCACTTTTGCTAGATATTAAATACATCTTTATTTAATTGGCCATTCGATGATGACATAATCAGTAGAAATAAAAAGACATTTAAGGCAAAAAATGACAATCACAATCAATTTCATTGACTAGAAATCAAATCCAATGGTTGTTTCCTGTTTCTTGTTTCCCTTTTGCAATAGCAAATATATTACAAAGTAAAAATACAGAAACAATTCCATTTTCATCTACAATCTCACTTCTTTTGGATACACAAGAAATAAGAATAAAAAAAATGATTTCACATACAACAGTTGTCTCGGGGAATTTGATGGTTGGATTCTAAGGCCCCTTTTTAAAATACTGTGTTGTCCAATCCAAATTTGATGGACTTCATTATTGTCGCGTAGGGAATTAAATGGTAGCGAGCCGGAAACAACCCATCACTTGATCAGCCCAAAACGAAAAAAATCATTGAATGTATTTGGTACTAAGATTTCTTGGCCTGCAGCAATTACAAAATTACTTGTATAGTTAATTGTAGTACCACTTTTTTCAGTGAAGGATATAACCACACACAACCATCTTATCTAAATATATTTTATCAGTAAGTGGATGCATCAAGTAATTTGAGTATAGTAACTTTATTAGTAAGATCACTTATTGTTTTCCTTTCTTCTAGAGCAATGAGTGACGGTTTTGGCACAGACCAAAATACATCAATGCAGATGATAATTATAAGTAAGAATGGCAGGAATAACAGTTTAAGAAAGGGTATATTGAGAGATAGATACAATGCAAGGCATAGATCTAGGTATAATTAAATGGAAAAACAAATTTTTATGTTTTGCATCCATATCACTGGTATTAAAGATCAATACTTAAGAATTTGGATTAAAGATTTACACAACCAGTCCAATGTATTGGAGATCACAATGTGAAAATAATTGAAGTCTAGTAGTTACTTCTGTAGCATGTTGATGGCAATTGGTTTTCAAATTGAGGGCTTGATCACTGATCAATAGCAGCCTAGGATGTAGTAGATTGCCTTTTCCTTCAATTATATGAAAATTCAATGGCATGAAAAGTGAAGAAAAAGAATTGCAGAGACAACATTACCTTTCTCAAATATTTTTTGTGAAGTTTCATAGCACCAGTGCAAGCCTTTTTGGCATCTAGATTTCCAGTTATGTCATTCAATATCTGAGAAGAATTATATCAGAGGAGCAAAGAAGGAAGTTAATAGACACAATAAATTTGTTAAAAATATAGCAAATTGTTTTAATAAAATACTGAAAAGTCTTGAGACACAACTTTCATTATGAAATAAATGAATTAACACAAAATATATAGCTTGTTCACCGATTTGGGAAAAAGAAGACTTTAATCCCTTTTGTTTTTCTGGTATCAAAGTGATTGTTCTATCTAATTTAATGCAATTTAAGCTTGGATATTATAAGACTAACCTTGACAACATCATCCAAGCCTTGCGCTTCCCGGAGTAGTTTTGTGCTTCTATCTTTCAACACACTAGCAACAAGGAATACAGATATAGGAAGAGGAGCCTCAGCATTCTTTGCTCCATTTTTCAAATTTTCTCTCTCATACTTTCCACATTGACGTATTGACTTTGTTTTTCCTCTATAGCCCACAGCTCTTTCAGAAGTTGATTGAGGCTCTTCATACATCAAGAACATGTCCGGATCGTATTCTAAAGCCCACATCATCTGTTAAAATCTTAAGTAATTAGTTACTATATTTAATCATAAATTTACAAAGATTTCCAAGACACCCACTTTCCCAAAGAGATTTGGAAAGTAATAATGATTTCATACTGTTTTCATGAAAGTAAACACACACCATGCGTGATATGTGGAAGAATAATGTAATCAGTGAAAGAGTAAATTGTGCCAAAGGAAAAATTGGAAATCATATTATACTGAGGGGTCATTGGTGATATGCTGAAAGCAACTTAATGTTCCTTTCTTTAATAAATGTGATAGAAAATATCACAAAGCACAAAAGAAGCCAAACATACCTCCCAAAGGTACAATGAATCACAAAAGGAGAATTCTCGACGAAACAGAACCATTAGCATTCGAAAAGCAAACAGATAGCCACCACCACCAAGATGCTCTGTGCTCCAAAATTAAACAGCACATTGTTACTTTTCATTTCTTAAACATTGAGAAGGGTGCAACAAAATTAAATTTAAAAAATATATAGACGGGATTTATTCAACAATTTCAAAATAACAGTGATCATAACAAATCATTTTCCAATAATATTTTCTAGCAATCATCATTTCTTAAAACAACAATCACACAAAACCCACATAATTAGAGTTAGAAAATTATATTCCACATTGGGCCATAAATAAAATACAAAAGCACATAGGAAGAAAATACCTAAATGTTTATGAAGTTTTGGATCAACTACTTGAGTAACTGAAGCCAAATTACTTAGTTGAGCCTCCACCCCAACAGAGTTATCTGTGCATCTGAAATTGCCTCGCTTTAAAAATTCAAGAACACAGACCATAAGAAACTGAGATGAAGTTGAATTTCAGAAGTACTATTAACAAAATCTATCATCTACCATATGGAATCCTTGTGCACCTGCTTCTTCAATAAAATTTCAAGCAGCTATGGTCAATGACCAATTCTCCTAAAAGCTTTAGCAGTTGGGTGAAAGCTCATGAATGGCCCTAACATGACTAAACATGCAAGATTCTTTGAAACTTGAGCATGGGCAATGCATAGGCTTTTTTTTTTTTTTTTTTTTTTTCACGATGTGTTGAAATTCAATTTTTACTTGAAAAAATGCGATGGCAAAGCAAGGATCAAACTCTTAAGCACTTAGTGATACCATGTAAGTAACCAACTCTCTTAAAAGCTTAAGCCTAGTGAAGGCTCGTGAATGGTTTTATTACATCTCTAACATATACTTTACATCTTTACCTTATAATTCATCGCTTCCAAGTTGTATATCTACAAACCATGGAATCTCAATTGTAATTTTATAGAAGTAAGTCCATCTTTCAAATTTGGGATAATTCCATTTGTGTAAGGCAAATAAAAGGTGACATTGGCATAATTTTGCGCAGGTTGCTGACTGAGCGAGCATTGGTAAACCATTGAAGAATACACAAATACAGAAGTTTGACATTATAAACAAAAAGGAGACTGTAATTGGTTTCAATATCATAATGACCAGATTTGTGAATGAAACAGCATAATTAAAACATTAGTGTCAAACCTCTACGAACTCAAGCTCCTATTTTAACTAGCCTATATGCATTGGGCAACTCAAGCAAGAGATAAAATTTAAAAGTAAAACAGTCAAGGGGAAGCAATTTAGGAATACAACTTTTCCTAGAAATACTTACAGCAAAAATTACAATACTTGAAACCCTAAAAACCCTCACGAGATGGAAAATAAAAAAATCAAACAGTAGATTTTCTTTTTCCCATTTTTTCAAGAAATCTGTGTAAAAAATGAGCTAAAAGTTGATAATAAAATAGAGCATAGAGATAAGGTGCTTACAAGTCTGCGCATCAAACGCTCAAAGCACCAAAATGCATCTGCTTCATCATTAAGAAGAATTATCATAGGGGAGCATAGGTCACTCATTCCTGTCCAGAATTGTAAAATGTTAAAACCGGAAGCTCAGATTAGTTGCAATGCAAGAAACACAAGCAAAACTAATACATATAGGAGTAGATCCTATATTTATTATAAATCTTTTTTCAATAAAGAAATCCATTAACCAAGTTGATGTTTTCTTCTCTTATGGTTCAGATTTCTCTACTTGTTTTTTTTTTTTTTTTTCCTTCAGTGAAAATTAATTGAGTTCTTAATTTGACTGGCAACTTAAAAACAGTGACAAAATACACATGAAGGGATTGTTATGTACTAATGTTATTTCAAAAACCCAAAATATCTGAACATAGTAAGATACAAATCATTAAATAAATATTCTATGAATGTTGGCCTTCCTTTAGAGCCATGTTTGTTGAGATTAATATTAGGCTCCAAGTAGTCAAATATATCTTAGAACAGAGCAAATTACTTACATGGAATTATCACACATATTAAGGTAAAATCTGATATCAATAGGAATATCTAAATGTAGTACCCAAAAGATGCCAAATGTGTATGATTCATATGGATTGATCACTCATGTAAAGACCCACCTTGACCGTAGCCAACATCTTTATCTATCCAAGCATAAACAGCAAGAATATCCCATAGTTTTGACAAGTTTTCTTGCTTCTCATAAAAAACCAATGTCCTATCAGTGCGAACCACATCAAGACCTGAAATGTGTTACATGCAAGGGTCATTCACCATGTAAATTATATTATGGTGATGAGATCACATTACTACACAAGAAAACTTTTAAAAGAAAACAGTTTACATTCTTACCCATTTAAGGACATCAAACTCAAAAACTAAGTCATGTTGTGAAAATCACATTGCTTTTGTACAACAGTGCATTTCAGGCATAATGGATTTATAACAAAAATAATTGCGGGGCAAGGTTCAGCCCACGACTTAGACTGTATATGCCAAAAAAAATAATAACAATTGAACTATAACAGACAGCACACTAAGAACAAGTTATTCACAAACCTATTTGATGGAGAGTTAACATCCACTGGACTACTCTCTTGTCTGTCACCTTTTCCAAGATATTTGCAGCATCCATTCTTGAAGGACTATTACTATCTTGAGGAAGTACACCCAATCCCTTGGCTGGATTTGTTTCTTTCAGAACCAATGGATCTTGAATTGGCTGACCATCTTCAGTAATAATAGGTGATGTGATAAATCTACCACTTCCAACAAGTGGAAACAGTTGGTGGCATTCTTCTTTCCATGTAGCATATTGCATCCTGATGACAAAAAATAGAAGTGATATTCAAGTAATGATGCACAACATTTAGAATTCAGAAATGGAAGTTTCAAATTACAAAAAGTAACATGTATTATTGCTGTATAAAGGATGCAGAAACAATTCTTGCCATATTTTTTAATGCATACCAAGCGAGTGTTGACATATTATAGACACTGCATTTTTATTTAAAAGGAAGACCAAGATAACATAAAAGTGCAACACCATAAAAATTTCAAATGTTCTAGGATGCTGTGATGATAATAGGATTAAAAAAGAGGATTTTTATAACTAAAGATCATCAAATGAGAAAGCCAATTACCTTCGCCGTTGTCTTATCTGATCTCTTTCCTCAAATGTACTCTTGGGATCATAGCAACCAAGTAGAAATTCCCAAACTTCTCCCCTAATTGATGGATGGACACCCTGGCTCAGAAATTTTAATAAAGTAACCATCAACCCACAGCTATATTATATACTGATATGCAGACACATATTTTTCTTTTGCATTAGTGAACATAAGTAAACCATAATCTTCAATAATTTAGGGGCTTGAAAAACCAATAATATGATCATCAAAGCTAATGCATGACTCAGGATTGTGAAAAAAAAAGAAGATTAAATATGAAGAAAATAAAACAATAGGAGAACTTTCCATGACCATTGGCACATATATATGTACGTGCACATGCATGGATGCCTCTACTCAATGGATCTAGCAAAATCTATCAATCCGGTATAATAATTTCTACCAAAGACTAGCAAAATCTATCAAATCTAAATTGAACAACACTTTCTTTTCCTTCCTTATCATTCTTAGATTAAAAGGGAATGCTTTGCACATCTGTTACTTTATGATAGTACTAAACTGTAATATTTTCCTATATTTCATTCAACGATCTTGTTAGAATGGTAAAGTTGAGCCTATGTTGAGTCTTAAACGAGATTTAAATTTTAAAACAAAAGCAACACAAGAATTTTTTTTGGGGAAAAAATAAGTCCAAAAAAGAGAGTAAGTCTAAAAAGGAAATGTTCCAATCAAAAGCCAGTCAAAACAGAGTGAGACGCCCCACAAGAAGAATGTGTATGAAAATATATGGAAAAGGGAGTTTCAGTTTTATCCTAGTACACAATCTATTATATATTAAATGTGGGTTCTTATTTTTAAAAACAAGAGTATTTTAAGAGCTATCTTAATCGAGAGCATTTTTAGGGATTGTTAGGTTTCTCATTAGTCATGTGGCTTTTCTTGCATTGAGTATTTAATTTTTTTAATTTAATTATAGTTTGAATTTTAAAATTTTCCATAATTTGTTTCTTAATTCTAAAATTCTTATCTCTTTAATGTATTCATATGTAATACAATAAAGTATTTATTATTAATAATAAAAAATTTACTTTAAAAAAATTTAATAAATTTAAAATTAAATGTGCAATATCCCTTTAATATTTTATGTAAAAAAACTATTTAATTTAACAATACTTCTGGTGCAGGGAAAACTCACTAGTATCTTAAAATGTGCTCTCTATACTTGGTCAGTTTGATATATTACTGATACTTAGTTGTCTGCAAGTAAGCACTTCAATTTCAGCCTTAGACCCCTAAAAAAAGGGGTTCAGTTATATTTCCAAGAGTCACTTCAACCACACAAGACAAATACCCTTAGGTTTTTTGAACAAGCTAGGGTTTCCTGTTGCTCCAACTACACCATAACTGGAAGTAGGAGACGGGCTAAACTTCATATCCTCAAACATATTTTACCAGCATTTGAACCAAATAGAACTATTACCCCTCGGTAGATTCGGCTTAGAGTCTTGCCTATATCCAGATACCCTTCTGGAGTAAATGCAGAATGCCATTTTCTTGCACTTAGCGTTTTACCAGCCTGGAGTACACAAGAAGAAGTTAAAAATAAAAGATTATATGTGTAACCAGATTGGCCAAAAGGATACAATTATTTTTATATAAACAAAGAATTTATTAAGATATGAGGGAAAGGTACGGATGAGAGAGGACATGTAAGCCTCAAAATTGAAGAAACTGCAGCCAGAAATAAAAGGAAAAAAAAAAAAAAACAGAGAATCTCTTTGTAAATCTGACAAGGTCCTTCCCCCCCCCACCAAAAAAAAAAAAACACAAAAAAATTGGAAAGACCAAGAGCAGAATACTACAAAGAAGTATTTTCAAATGAATGAATGACATCCTGTAAAGATTTTAGCATTTTTTCCAAATAAATATACAACAGAACTGCAAGAAGGCATATGGTTTTTGCATTAAGGTATAGAATCGCCTAATTGATTTATTTTATTTAATGTTTCATAAGATTAAAGCAAACCAACAAGGACTATTAATCATTTAATATTAGTCATCTTACCAAGTGTATTTTATCCATACTCAGATTTAATACTCTTACATTATTACATAACAAAGCAATTGATAACCAGCCCTGCAGCAGTACTGAAATAGAAAACTTAATACAATGAGTGTTTCACTAAATCAAGTTCTAGGCATGATTTAACTCATTAAGTACCCATAATTCATTCAACTAGCACAACAATCACAATTATATCCATAAGACTGGGGACAATCATAAAATCAGTAACATTTGCATTTACTATACGTAATTTCAACACAAATTCCAGTCAATGAATCAAATTACATTGATTTAAAATGATTCTTGACATCACTGAATTTGAAAAATTCATGACAACCAAAAGATACATTATCCTAAAATCTATAATCAAAACTCTTTTTTTTCCTTCTGGTAAAATTAAATATACCATCGTGAAAACCACTGTTGACAACTTTGTAAAGGTAAAATATCATCATGACTTTCAATTATCCGAAATCACAGGCTATCCCCCCAAATGAACAAAAGTTTCTTCCAGTTATCGACTTAACAAACTCAATATAGCTTAGAAAGACAGATAAGCCACGTGTTTGTGTGTACTTGACATTCTTAAATGACCAAATCCATATAAATAATGACATACATTGCTTATAATCATAAAAAACCAACTCCAATTTTCCATCAACGTAATAATACTTCTTATTCACCAATGAATAAATACCCAGATCAAAATACTCAATCAATATCAAACAACTATACATATTAAACCAAATAAAGGAATTAAGAAAAACCTTGATCTTAAATCGAGTAATTGGAAGATCGGTGCATTCGGGGCGGATTTCATAGAAAGAATCAGCAGAAAGTCCTGGATCTCTCCACATCCCAATTAACCAAAAGGGAAAACACGAGCAACTAAAAAGCAACGATTTTTGGTATCAACAATGGTTGAAAGCACACAGGAGCTGGACCCCTTTGGAAAGATAAAGCAAACCCAGAAACAAAAACTAGTCAACTCAACAATTCAAGGGGGATCCAGCTCCAAAAGTACACACAACAAGAACGAAGAAAAAAAAACGAATTTTTTATTTATTGTTGATGTATTAAATTTATAGTTGGTAGAAGGTACGGCATTGTAGTAGTGGCGATGGTGTTTGAGGAAGGTAGTAATGCTTTGTCAAAAGGGTTGAATGGGAAGAGAACGTTCACGACCCCCTCCCTACACGCCTCCTTTACTGCGTATTTTGCTCCCACTGTTCTTTTTCTCTTTTCTGCTGTTCTTTTTTTAACTAAATTTTATGATACTATTTTTTTTATATATTATCTGAACTCTTTTCATTTATATAATTGCATGATGAGTTATGTAATAAATAATTAAGAAAAAAACATGATATTTTATTATTGTATAAGCTTAAGAATCTTGTTAAGATTAAACAAATTATTAAATGAAATTTTATTAAATCTTTGAATGTAATCTATTTCTTCTTTTTTTTTTACCTTTTAATCTTAGTTATTAAAGTTAAATTTCAGTAATTAATCATAAAAATTATATTAAAAATATTTATTATATTTAGTTATCTTTAATATAGTAAAATTTACTGTTTTTATGTTCTTAAAACTAATTAAAAAAATTAATATTAATAATTTTTTAATAATACTATATTCTTCTGTCTATTCTTTTGAGTAATCTTTTTAACGTTTTATAAATAAAATATACTTAATATTTTAAAATAAAATAATTTAATATTTTTATTTATTTGATGAGTAACAATGTTGTAGAAAAATTTAAAGTTATGTTTTATTGGTGGTGGTTATTTATTTCAAATGATAATCTTTTACCAAAAGATACACTTTTCAGTTACTTTATTATATAGTGGGTGTTATATATATGGAACATGAGTGAGACTTGGTCATTTTTTAGTCATGAGTGAGACTTAGTCTTGAGCAAAGTCTGCTGAGCAAGCTCTAAGAACAGAATGAGGAGTTTATTAGCATTAGCATGAGAAGTGGTTCAAATTAAAAATTGAATTTTACGTGATGAATCACTTAAAGTATGCTACTTACAATTCAGAGCAAATACTTTTCTTTGGAAATTGGAAATAAATTAGTTTCATACTCAAATAATGGACAAAAATGCCATAATTTTTATCTTTAAAATATAAGAGCATAAAAATTGAAATGCCTATGTGGGACTCCAAATTTTTTCATTATATATATATATATATATATATATATATATATAAATAATAAGTTTATAATATTTTTTTAATAAAAATGTATTATTAATTTTTAAAATTTTGCATTCTTATTTTAAATAAATTATATTTATAATTAATGATTGGTTATTAGATTTAATGAGTATTATGTGTTTTTCATATTGATGATTTAGATTTATTATTAAAATTATTTTTTTAAAGGTATTCTAAATATAGAAATTAAAATACTACTTGAAATATTAATTTTTCATTATGTTAAAAACATGAATTAAGAGTAAATTTAAATCATACTATAACATATTTCTATTAATAATCTTATATAAAATAAATAAAATATTAAATATTATATTTTAAGATATTAAATAAAATAATTTTTTATTTTTATAAAGTATTAAAAATTTAATAAAAAAAAGGGTTAATGTACTGCATATCTCATGGCTCCGAACTCTGATCTCATAGAAAATGCTGAAATGGCACACTTCATTGCTTTGTATCCAGGTGCATTTGTTGATATCTGCCGATTAAAGAATTCATGAAATTTAAAAATGCTGGTTTTTCACATAAATGGAGTAATTCCTTTTTAAAATTATTAAATTGGTGTATTTTTTAAATATATATCAAAATAAAGTAAGCATATGTTATCAATATAATTTATTTATTTTATTTTTCACGTGAATAAATTTGTGATAATTTTTAACGTAACTTTTTACAATTTTAGCTAACAGTTTAAAATAATCACATATTTATTTGCATAAAAGAATAAGATAACTCATACGATTCACTTTATTTATAACAAATTTTAAAAAATTATATTAATTTGATAATTTTTAAAAAATTATATTAATTTAATAATTTTTAAAAGGGAGTATCTCGTATACGTAAAACAAGTAGAAAGTATATGAAAATGCTTGCATAGTGTTCATCTATCAGACTAGCACGTGTGTAGGAAAGGCACCAAAAAGGAATGGACACACATAATTAAACATTATTGCTGCCAAGAGAAAAGCATCTCAGTAATTATTAATATATTATTAATATTCTTATAACAGTTGAAGTCGAAAAAGCTTCTTTAACACAATAGGGTCTTATTCTTGTTATGATTTTTCGGACAGATGTTATTTGTACTCTCATTTTTCAGAAGAAAATTTATAATAATGAGTAAGAAAACAAATACAGATTTAATCTGTCATTAATTTAAATTAAAAAGCATTTTAATCTTTCATAAATATTATTAGGATTTTCCCTTATTAATGTGATAAAATTTTAGATATTTAAAAAACTATTTTGATAACAAATTAAATATTTAAAATGCTATTATGATAATAATTGAAATTTTCGAGTGATTAAATTTTGATAACGAAAATTTTGAAAAACCATTAGAACATATAAGTTTGGATAGTTAAATTGAGAGTTTTTTTTTTTTTTTTGAAGTTATAAAACAAAAATAGAGAAAAAAAAAAAGAAATCAACTAAAATATAAAAATAAAATTACTAAACTATTAATTTGATCAAAAGTGTAACTTATGTTGTTGACATTGAAAAAAAGACAACCTCCTCTCTTGAATTTTTATTCACAAAAGAAAGAAAGCCAATAAGCAAAGCATAAACAAATGCACCAAGTTCTTATATGAAAAATGAAATATTCAAAAGAGACTAATGAAAGAGAACATATGCTTTGCTCCATAATCAAAGTAACCCAAGCAGAGGAGAGAATAAGAAAAAGTTTCAAAAACTTCCCTGCCACAGTTTGCAAAATTTCCATGCATTTGCTACCTACAAAACCCCCTATGATGGTCCAATTTATTGCATCCATCTAGCTTCAACATTTCCATCATTTTGGTTGCAATACCCTCTTGCCCCTTTTCAGTTCCTCATTGATCCTCTCCAATGGCTGCAATCATGTTAAGGTCTAATGAAGTAGTTCATGTCTTAGGCTTGTTCTGTCTCTTGCTGTTGTTGCACGAAAGTGATGCCTATCAATTCATAGTTGGAGGACAAAAGGGTTGGAGTGTGCCAAGTGACCCCAATTCCAACCCTTACAACCAGTGGGCAGAAAAGAGCCGATTTCAAATAGGAGACTCCCTAGGTGAGTTCTTATTCAATCTCAACCATATATTATATATATCTTCATTGGTTTTTAACTTTTATCAAAGCCAAGGGAAAAGAAGTGTGACTATTTTAACTAGCTCTAAATTAAATGACATATTTTTAGTTGAATTTATGAAATTATTTATCGTTACAATATATCTATAGTTCTATCATATATCATTGATATGATATAAATCAGAGTTATGAATTAAATAAAAAATAATTAATTTCAACGTAAACTTTTTTTATATTATTAATCAACTAAAATATTCAATAAGTATGACTTTTAAATTAATTATTATTAAAGCAAATATATATATATATATATATATATATATCCTTTTTCTTATAAGAATAAGAAACTTTTTACTTTTACATGATCAAAGTTTAATAAGAAAGGATGGAAACATTGTGTTTGTGCCGAACACTTTCCAAACTAGAATGTTAAAAATTTCCATAAGTAAAATGATACAATCAATCCTTTTAATTAAAAAAATTATTCAGCTATTTATTAACAAAAAAGTGGAGTTATATATATAAATTTACACATATGCCAATTGCAGTGTTCAATTACCCTTCTGGCCAAGACTCAGTAATTCAAGTAACTAGCCAGGACTATGGCAGTTGCAACACCGATGCATATTCTGAAAAATTCTCTGATGGCCACACTGTGATCAAACTCAACCAGTCGGGGCCTCACTTCTTCATAAGTGGAAACAAAAACAACTGTCTTAAAAATGAGAAACTAGTAGTGATTGTGCTTTCAGATAGGAACAACAGAAACTCAAACACCAACCAAACAAACACTGCTTCTTCTCCTTCTCCTTCACCTTTACCTTCATTCACAACTGAGTCATTAGCTCCTCCACCAGCACCTACTCAACAACAGGTTCCATCTCCAGTGGTGACTCCAGCACCTGCACAGCAAGAGGCTCCTTCTCCACCTTCAACTGAGATGACAAACCCAACTCCACCTCCTGTTAGTCAACCTCCTCCTCCTCCTCCTAATGCTGCTTCTTCAATCTTGGTTTCCTTTGCTGGTTATGTTGGAGCATTCATTGCTTCGGTTCTAGTTTTTCCTTTCTAAGTGGATATATATATAATATGAGTGATTGATTATAACATTTTAGTTTTTTATTTTATTTTCTACAAATTCGTTTGTTTAATTATTTCATGGATTCCTATAGTTTGAGTTTAGCTTTGTCGAACTGGGCCTTTGGTCCAAAGTTGGAATGCCGTTTGATATTTGTTTGAGAGAACTGAGAAATAAGCTGACAATATATATACGTATGTATTTGAGTGCTTCTTCCTTGACGATTGCAAGAATATTATTGTATTGTATAGCTGAACATGAAAAAAATAAAGCCCATTTTTATGATCAGTGATAGAGTTAGTAAATGTGCTTGACATTTCCAATTACGGTGCTTAACTTAGTTATCCACTGAAGTAGAAGTTAACCTATTGACGAGGTTATAAAGCTATATCTGTCGTCGTAAGATCTTACATCTGAACTTTCGCCACTTTTTTGGTTCTCCTTATGATGTGCTCTCCTCTCCGCCTCTTATATACCATATGTAACCAAGTTTATATAATATATATCAAATAAGAAAACATGAAAGATGATATAAATAGAGATGTAAATGAATTGAATTATTAATCAAATATTTGAATTCGATTCATTAAAATATTAATGCAAATTCGTTTCCTTAACTAACTAAAAAAGCTTAAACTTAAAATTAAACTTATTATTCAAATAAGTTAATATAAAATTTACAAATTTGATATTAACAGCTTACCAATAATTTGGGTAAGTAAGAAGATCAAATAATATAAAATTTTAAACTTAATAAACAGATATATATATATATATATATAATAACTTTTTATTAAAAATAAATTTTATTAATCTAATTATTAAATTTAAAGTTATCATGATAAGGTAGATTAAATCTATAAAAATTCACATAATTCAAAAATTAATTGATATTTCACTGTCTTACTTTTATATTAAAGTATGATAAGTTATTTACAATATAAATGAATGGTTATATTGAATTATATATTTGTGAACATCTAAATTGTGTAATTATTTATATAATTAATGGTTAGATTGATAAATGAAATAATGAAATATTTTAATGTTTTTTTTTTATAAACTAGTAAAATAAAATTATTATTCTAAAATTAAAATAGTTATAAAAATTATTGAAACAAAAAACATTCATTTAGGCGCTACATAAATTGAAGCCTTATTTATACACACCTTAACATGAAATACTTTATGACAAGAGTAATTTGAATGAATCCCACAGAAGACTGACGTGCAACGAGCGCACTCAAAAAGTCACCATTTAATCACTTTACTCCCATTTTTTTTTTCTCAACCATAACCAAAGTAAAAAAATTTAGTGGAGGGCAAATACAAGACGCATTTATGGAACTCGCAATCTACGACCGAAATAAAACCTAAAAAAGTTACATTTTTATGCTTGAAGTGTATCTATAGATAACAATCCCTGCCAAAAAAAACCTCTCTAAAGTGGATCTAGCGCAATCAAGAGCCCTACGATATAAAAAAAATTCCCGACTATCTATCAAAAATTTTTGCCAAGCTCAATTTTTCTCAGCATTCTAAGAGTGTTGTGCAAAATTGAGTCCATGATTCCAGCTACCTGAAACCACAGAGAAGACTAGTCAACCATAAAAATAGTGGACAATACAAGTACTGAACCACAATATCTGATATACAAACCGTGAAAACACCCCCAATAATCGCACAGACATTTGTAATAAAGTGCGAGAAAGACCTCTGGTTTTCCGTTATTAAGACCTGCTCGCAAAAATAAACAAAAATAAACAACTGAACCAAAAAGAATGAAAAAGGAGTGGAAACTTATTCAAATCTATAATCTCCATAACCAGACCTGCATAGGAGAGAGCTCTAGATGGAACTTCGCAACAGGAATGTGTAAACTTTGTGCCACACTGCTGTGCGCTGTGTACTCATACTCCTCAACTAATTTATAATCTTTTCTAGTTATCACCTCTGTTTTAACAATCTGAAGGTAATGCTCCATCTGCAGCCATAGATATCTTAAACAAATGTATGACATTTTAATAATAATAAATCTCCAAGCATTGGGGATGCTCATCTTTCTATAGTTATCATCAGCATCCATACAGAAAGAAAGAACATTATCAAAAAGCTGGAATGCAGTTCATAAAGGACTATAAGGTAATAGTCTCAAAGATGAACAAAATGTCCTCCCGCCCTGAACATTCATTGTATCTTTTGCATCTTACTCTTGCAGATGCAGGTCAATATAACTTGTCCATTAATAATCAAACATGCTAATGCCAACCATAAAAAGTCATATTCTCAAGTAAAAAAGTTACTAAACTAGAAGTTCTTACGTTCAATATTAACTTACAGTAACATTTGCTCCTAAATCACGTGTATTGATGAATGACCGACCATTCAGCCTGTCATGGCTGCTACCGACGTAGGGTATCAAGCGCTTCACATCACTCATGACCCTAGGTGACACTTTCCTTCCAAAAGATAAATGGTTTATGACATGTGACATGTTCATTTGAGAAGCATCAAAGGAATGGGCATCAGATCTAGCTGAGATTATCAAGTTTCCAGGAACCTGCAGAGTGAAAAATAGCTTATATTTCAGCATAACATTTAAAATATGAGGAAGAAAATAAAAAGATCATATCCCCCCTATACAACTTATTTGTTATTTTAATATTAACAACTAAAGCTTCTATCGAAAATAAAAGATAATTTAAAAACAAGCTAGGAACCAAATGTATCTGTTATTTCCAGAGCAATGTAAGGAATCTTAGTTCATCCTCAAATCTGGAAACTAGGAAGCAATGAAGGAGTTTTTCTGCATTACAGTAGAACGTTAATTTTATCCATGTGGGAGTTTACCTTCTTGACACGCACGTATCCTTCAATTCTACATCCCCCTGCTGATGGTGCTGGTCTTTTTGTATTCGTTGTAGCATTGGATATATCTTCCAAAGCTAACTTCTGAGTTCCTACTGGGAGAGATGCTGCTAAAGTCTCCATTGTCTGCAGTGTAGATACTTCATATGAGGCATTTTTCACTATAATGGTATGAAGTGATGTTCAATTACATTTAAAAGTATTAAGTAGACTCTTATGCTAATATAATATAATGTGTACCTTGACTAGGCTCTCTGTGTCACGATCTCCATAATAGGACTCGTGATCATGATGTCCATGGTCATTTCTGAAATAAGGTAAAGATTCAAAAGATTAGATATGATCAGAGATCCAAAACTTTGAAAACCCAATCACAGAGCAAAGACCTTCAATATTCTGGATGTACATTTTAAGAAAACTCAGGATTTTCAAAAGTAATTGAGAAACATAGAAATAACAAGGGAGAATCACTTATAGAAATAGAATTGACATTGCCTGCTGACTAAATGATGCACTGCGATGTTCATGGAGGAAAAGTATCAGTAGCATCTCTAAGTTACCTTCCATTACTACTTCATAGGTCAGGACTCACATCCAATATTCCATATGATCTTTCTTTGGATATTAAGTGGATCTACCAATTCAAATACTTGCATCCTCACACCCTCTCCCACTGCTTCTTTCATTGCTATTGGTCTTTGACCACTATTCCATTTAAGATGATTTCGAGGACCATTTCCATTACTTTTTTTTACAGGAAAAAAAACTATATATCCTTCTCATGAAAAAAAAAAGTAATTAATTAAGCATATAAACAAGCTTACAATACCTGACATCACTTCCTTTACGAAAGACACGAATTGAAGGATACCCTTGTATATGATGCCTGGATATTTATAATGAGATACAAAGATTAATAGCAAAAAGACAATCATAGACGGAAAATGAGAAAACAGTAGAACAATTAGCAAAAATGACAAAAGGAAATATCAAGTTACAATTAAGAACATGCACTTTCAATCATGCCCAACTAATATGTTTAAAGCCCATCTCCACCTATATATATATATATATATATATATATATATATAATAAAATTTGTGACAATGCATAGTTTTTAAGTTTCAAATGCTCTTTCTTATATTTGATATTATACTACAAATTTTTAAGTCCCGATACTTGAGATCAATTAAACAGAATGATAAATAAATTAATAATGATATTACTTATACAATATAAATTAAGTGGTTAATTTGAAAAAAAAGAGGTAATTTGTGATTGTAGTACTTATCAAGGTGAAAAAAAAAATTTACTATACTACAATATGATTAATTATCGTATATAGTAGTGAATACTAAGCTTTAAAGAAATAATATGAGAAGAAAATGAGAGTAACGAAGATGAGAATATTAATGTGGATGTGTGGTCAATAAAAGACATGATAAGAAACAATAATATACGTGAAATATTTGAGTAACACTTATAGTAAAAAAGATAACTAAAAATTGTCTAGAATAATTTGGTTATGTGCAGAAAAGACCTTTAGAGATACTAGTGATGAGAATAATTTATATGACTTTGAGTTTAATAAAAAAGGATCGGAAGAAACCTAAAAAAAATTAATTAAATTATTAAAAAGATATCTTTTACTTAGCTAGATTTCTGAGATTTTAATTTTTAATCGAGGTCAATGGTATCGTGTGATCCATGTAATCGACATTATTTACTAGATTTGATTATTGTTGTATTTCATTTTAATGTTTAATAAAGTTCAATTACTCCCGTTTTTTATGTTTTTTAAGGTAAAGAGTTACTCTTATCATATTTCTAGCATCATGTATCCATTTTGAAATATCCATCCCATGGATTTAATTGCCTCAAAGTAATAACTAACAAGTGATGTGGGAGACCAATGTATGAAAAGTACGTTTTAATAATGGTAAAACTGAAGAATCAGTGCTTTTTTTTTTTTTTTTCTCTAATAACTAAACGTGATTTTGAAACTCTAGGACAAGACTGGGTGACAAGGAACTTATCCCCTGTTTTGTTTCCTGTCTTTTATTTTCAAAACAAAGGTTAAGTCTAGTCATTGTTTTTGCCAATCCAAGTTCATCAATGTCACTGCCTTTATAATTATTTTATCTCAGTACTACTATCCAAAGTAAAAATTTTCAAGATGGTTTATACGATTCAAAGACTAAAATTATAAAGGATAGAAAACTTAAATGCAATGGAGAGCTTATGGAAAGGACATAACCAAATCAGCTGAAAGTAACAAACTGAATCCTTAAAAAAGGGTACCTCCGGCACAACTCTCCTTCTTGAGTGCAATCTACCTTCCCCAAAATAATACGGCCATCCATTTCTGGATCATATCTACATAAAAATGCAATAGTACATAGAAGACATCAAATTAGTAAAGTGATGCTACGATAATTACCAATTACACAAGAGAGAACAGAGTAGACTTTTGAAAGTGTAATTTCTAGGAAATGAGAGGAACACAGTAAAATAAAGTACCTCTCTTTTAGTATTTTAGCTGCCTTCTCCCATGACGGTTTCTGAATGCAAAGAGACGAAGGAGTCATATAAACACCTCCAACCATTAAACACAAACTTGTACAAGTTATCTTTCATCATGAGTCATGACTAAGTAATTGACCATTCATCTAATCATATATGGACAGATGATATGCACTATACGCTTTGCATGTTGTATAATTTAAGTTTCTGCATCGTGACATAGCATTAGTCACTATTAAAATGTATTTGTAGATGAAGTTGCATTGCACTAAGCACTCATATCAATCTTTACCCCTACTACATGGTTTCTACCATAGGGGACCTTTGTTTGTTATTAAGGATAATAAGTTGTTGATAATAGAAACAGAAAAGTAAATGTATTTAGACCATAATAAAGACATCAAGAACAACCTTATTTGTTGAAGTGATGAGAAAACAAGAAATGAAGATAAAATATTTACCAAGCGTTGACTCCAGTAACACCAAGGAGCATAAAAATTAACAACTGTAACTGCAAACCTGCCAAAATATTATTTAAAACGGTGTAAATGATACCAAAGTATTGTGTATTTTGAGCAAGAAGGGGAAAAGAACTATTCAACTGTCAAATAGCTGAAACTCGAAAATCGAATGAATGAATCACATGATTGACCCACTTACTGAGGAACATATTTATCAAAATTGTGTGTCGTGAGAACAACAGAACCTTCAACGGATTCTTCATTTACTTCATCATCATGCTTAATGATGTTAGAAGCTGGTCCTGAATGGAACTCAGTTCCAGTGGGTCTTAAATTTGAATCGATGGAAAACTTGCGAACTGTTTTTGTTAGATTTAGCCTGTTCTGAAAACAAGAGGTCACAAATTAAGGACACTGATAAAATATCAAGGAACCAAGATAAGTGATTATAGCATAGGAAATCATAAAATCTATAAACAAATATATGGATTCTTTCATTTGGAACATAAAGTATAGTGCATAAAGAAGCTTGAAATCCATGTCAAGTGCTTCTTATATTTCAGTGGCCTGGGTTTCACACTTTATGGGCAGATTACGACAAATGATACAGCATATAGAATTTTGAAAATCCATTAATGAATATATGTTCTGAAGGCAAAAGGTAGCCTTATAAAATAACACTGAAATTTCCAGAATAATCAATAAACAGCATTTTGTAGTGGTTAATAGCAGGTTGCTAAGGTCTGAATTAACAAAATTTTAAAAAAGCACCCTTATATGAATAGGATATCCTCATGTTTAGTCTGCTACTCAGTTTTAACCAATATCTCCGTTGGTAGGTATTATTGAGCTAAAAGTAAGATTTTATGACCTCGTTACAGTAAATGAATGGAAATAATAAATAAATGGAGATATTAATATTGTTTAATCTGTCTTAAAGACAGTTTTCCTGCATTATAGTCAACTCACGAAGTATATGACACATTTAAGTATTTAGAAACAAAAGCAAGATTTCTTAAACCAGAAGCACAAATCTTTTTTTGCTATAGATGATCAGATGGAACAAATGGAATGACAGAAACTTACTGTTCCCAGCACATCACTCACATCAACTGACGCGAACTCACATGAGAGGGAAGGAAAACTACAACATAAATTGGAGCCATCAGCAACAAACAATTGATAAAGAAAAGGAGAGCTTAAAAATGGCCATGAAATTATATGAACACGTCAGAATAATAATACCATAACTAGCTACAATTGCTACATGAATTGAACAAGGAATATAAACTCAGAAAAATCATGACACAAGAAAAACAAAAATTATCACCATGGCAATCTTTTTTTTCATGTCAATTTCACAAACCATCACTACATATCAAAGATAAATTGAGTTTCTAGTTTTTCAACATCCCATCCCATTCCCAATTTGAAAAGAAGCTTGAAAGGAAGAAAGGAGTGTGCCATCAATACAGAATAGGAAAATTTTAACCTCTTCTTCGATGAAAATAGTTTGTCCAATAGAAGTCAAGTTACAAACAATTTTCTTCTACAATTAACCAAGATTTTGATGAACAAGTTACCAAACCCCTAAGGTAACGTTCAAAAAATTCTTTAATAGAGAGTTACACATTCTTGGTAACAAGAGCCACAGAAAGCAAATATTATGCAGCCCAAGTTCTTTGCAGTATGCCAAGCTCAAGTAGAGAAATCCATGAAGCTGCCAATAATTTGTATATACAATCGCAAAGTATCTTCAATAAACATCATCACCAAACAAAGATAGCCAATGCCTATTCAGGCTTCTACCTGATATTGAAATCTATACGTAAAAAGTCCCCATCAGAACTCTGGTCAACAATCACAGATGTAGAGGTGCTGACAGACAAATAATTACTAAGTTCCTGCAACACAGTTGCATAATATACATCAAAATCAATTATGATAAAATTTGATCAAACCAAATTGAAGCATAAAAGGCATAGGACCTGATATCAATCCAGAACACATGCATATATAATATGTTAAAGCCTTTGTGTGTCATAAACATAAATAGAAGTTTGTAAAAGCTACAGACCATTCCAAATAAAAACATCATGGAGAGAGCTGCAACTATGGATAACCCTGCTCCAGATAATGATGCCTCAGTTAAATCTCTTGGGATTTTTCTGTAGACAGAAGACAACTGGTAAACATGTATCTATAAGCAAAAAGATAATGCACATGCATTCATAAACCCACCCGTATATATTCATTTTGAGCCTTTTACTTCAGTGATTTAATTTCTTACTCCACTGTTCTTCAAAGCATAACATGTCACTCATCTATTTGGTTTGAGAAAACATTTTGTTTTCATTTCCGGTTTTCACAAATAATTATAAAAATACCACCTTATTCTCAATTTATTTTCAGTTTCCAAAGATTTGTATTTGAAACAATAAAATAACATCTTGTTATCACTATTCCTATATAAATCTTTGAAAACAAGGTTTTGTTATTTTCATTGTTTTCTATACAATTTTTTGGAAACAAGAAACAAAGTGAAAATTCGATAACAATTTTGTAACTATTAGTGAAAACAGGAAATAAAAACGCAAAACTTTTTCTCAAATCAAATAGGTCCTTGACTTTTCATTTTAAATTTTCAAAACTTCTTTCAATCTAAATAAACATGTCCTCCTTTACAATTTCAAACACCTCCCTTCAAATCTATGCTTTCCTACATAGCAGGTGAATTTAGAAAAGGAAATGCGCAAGGCATCAGATGTTCAATACTTATAATTAACAGTTAAACTGCTTATAATAAATACCGTAAGGGGAAACATATACCACCATTTCTTTTACAATTTTAAATTTGATCAATTGCCACTGTCAGTATAAAACTTAAGCATTTTCAATAAACAAGAAAGTATCACATCACAATAGCAAATGAGGCTTCCATTTCCAGTAAGAACTTTCAACACTTTTTCAAATAGACGGTAGCACATGGTTCACTGATTCACTGATACTGTAAGGTATCAAAACTAAATTTATAAATAAGGTCGATACAGTTGACAGATAGTTGAGTTCGTTAAACATGACAACTGAGTTCAATTCCTAGCCATGTGTATGGAAAAGCCTTTATTACAAGGGATAAAAGCCAACTTTGATGATCTTCACACCTCAAAATGAAAAATTCAACTGTTGGCTAGGGGAATCCACCTTAGTGCACACCCCGAAAAAAGTATCAAAATCAAATCCTTCATTTACTAATAGTTTTCCCTTCATTTTGAACAAAGCCACTGATTAAATGCCGCATCATTGTCCTCCTATGTTGAACATTTCTCTCAAATCATTCTCGACAAAACTTAATAAAAAATACACAAACATTTAAACCGAACGCATAACAGCAGCAAAGCAAATTGAATTACAGGTCCAACACAACACAGAGGCCACCAAAAGGTCCAAAACATCACATAGTTTAACAATAACCAATAACAAGCTAAAAAGAGGAACACTAATTATTATCCGATAACCACACGTTTCTGATCAAATTAACAGAAACACTGGCATTGCAACTGAATATTCGCACGCGAACAAGCAAGTCGGTGATGCAGTCACATTGATAGAACATGTGTAGTTATCGATCCAAAAATGCGAAATGCACGAATGAGGAAAAAGATGATGTGCGAAGAGAGTGGGATCCTGACCTGTAAAAATCGACGGATTTGATTTTGCTTGCAGATATCATGATTGAAAGAGAAGTGGAGTTTCACGGGAAAATGAAAAGGAAAATAAAAGAAAATGAGAGTGAAAGGGATATGAAGAAAGCTCAAATCTCAGGGTTTGAGATTTGAGAGCGTAATGCAAATGTAGTAGTAATAGATCGAAGGAGAAGGAGATATTCTTCAACTGTTAGTTTTTTCGTTCAATATTAACTAAAACTCCGCGCTCTGTCTCTCTCTCTATCTCTCTCTCACTAAGCATGCGCAACTATTAAATTTTTAATAGCAAGTATATTAAAATATAACTTTTCTTTTTGGTCCACAACAAATAAATATAACTTAAAAAATATAAATATAAAGCATTAATTGGACCTAATTAATTAAACCCTTTTTAAAAAAATTTTGTGTCGAAAAAATTAAAAATAGTCCTACTATATACTAATTAGAAATAAAAAACATTTAAAATTATATTAACAATAATTTTAATAAAACATTTTATTTTTATTTTGTCAATCCACTTAGTAACATTTCATTTAAATTATTATATATACATTTTTTTAAAAATTATTTTAAAAATTCAATATTAATTTTTTTATTTTACCTGTACATCTATTTAATATTATAAATAATTACTTCAACTATATTATATTTCTTATGTATTGCCTTCTGTCTTTTTCTATCAGATAATGAATTTATAAAAATTTAAAAATAATAAATTAAATAAGTATAGTTTAAATAAAAACATTTAAACAAAAATAAAATTATACAGTAGTTATATATATTTTTAACCCTTATACATAACTTTAAATTATATATATAATCAAATGAACCAACGTAAAGATTCCCTTCATTTTAAGTTAGGCAATTGATGCTTGCCTGTTTATTTCGAGAATGATGAATGGTGTTTATATCTCTTTTTTATTCCTGATAATTTAAGAATTTAGAAATATTTAATGTACAAGAGACTAATTCAAGTATAAGATCGTAAATAAAGATGTCAAGTGTAATATAATAATAAAACTGAAACTGTGCCTTACCTAATAATTACATGAAATCACGAGTTAAAAATTGTTTACACAATCAAAGTGTAATATTAGCATAATCATAAATAAATTATTCTAATGAAAATTATCCATGTCTTACGAAATCGATAATGGATTATGGACAAGCAATGATGGAGAGGAAGAAGGAAGATTTATTTGCTTTTAGAGACTTTTTGTCTTATATTTAAACATTCTTAACAAATAAGTATAAAAGTTCTAAACATAATTAGTAATGATAGATTTCTAATAATATTATTTCTAAAATCTTATTCCAAATATTTTTTATTTTTGAAAAAAGAAAAGAAAAGAAAAGGGAACGATGCACAACATTTTAGGCATCAAGTTTAGACACTACTTCAACTGAAATTAAGATTGTTGACCAAAAACAAAAAACTGAAACTAAGACGGGTTGACAGAATATTTTTAAGACATTTTGACGAAAAAACAAAACTGAAAATAAGACATGGGTTAATTATTACTATTAAATTTAAATATGTTACGGAATATAATACCGAAGTAAAAATTGTAAATATTAGTATCGTACTTCAAGTAGAGGATGATATTGCTCGTATTTATAGTCTTAATGAAGTAATAAAGGGTGAATTAGTAGAATTTGAAGAGGGTACCATAAGTATTACTTTGAATTTGGAATCAAAAAATGTTGGTGTTGTATTAATGGGTGATGATTTGATGATACAAGAGGGAAATTTGGTAAAAGCAACAGGAAGAATTGCTTAAATACCACTAAGTGAGGCTTATTTGAGTCGTGTTATAAAATGTTTATTTTTTAATTATATAAACTTTTTTCCATTATAAAAAAGGAAATACTTTTGGCATAGTATATATGTGGAAATAATTTTGTGCATTATTTTATCACACTATAACGCATAAAAATTGAATCTCATGATCAATGTAAAAATCACACATTACTGAAACGATAATGTATGGACTCTACTCAGTTTGACTTGAACTAATTATATTTTAATTTTTTGGTAATATATTGATTAAGATAAAAATAAAAAAACTTAAACCTAAACCTCTTTTCAATTTAAGGCTTGTGTGACAAGGGTTAAGGATGATACAAAAGGTACGAGGATGTGATTTTTCATAATATTTTTGTTCCATTTTATGTGACATGTTTTGTTACCTAAGGTTTAATTTTTGGGAATGTTTGATGGAAGATTTTTAAGTTTTCAAAAAGTTAACATTTCTATGAATGTTTTTAACCATATCACCTAATAAAAAATTCTCATGGAAAAGAGTAAAAATCCAAAATTTTCATAAAAAAAAGAAAAAATATATGCATATCCGTGATATAATATCTACAATTTTTAAAAATATTTTACATATACCAATTGCATGAAAGTAGACTCTACATATCAAATGCTCAGAGAATTGGCTTAACCTATATATTTATGATCAAACTAAATTTTAAAACAAAATCTTTTAAAACTCATTGAAGTAATTTATTAAAATCAGTGTAATTTATTTAATTTGTTTTCCTTTTAATATGAAAGATTACTTTCTAAATTTTTGTAACCAAAATCATTTAATTTTTATTTTTAATCAATAATAAACTCAATACTTTTTGTTTTTAATGAACTATTATTGATGCTAAGTAATATTTTATTACTTTAAATGTAATTTTTTTTTTTTGCATAATAATTAATTAAAACTTATAATAGTCATTATTCTGATAGGTTTGGTATAATCCAACATTTGCAATATTTAGTTAACTAAAATTATTAAAAAAATAAAAATTAACTGATGAGATAAATAAGATAATTAAAGATTAAAAATGTCATAATAAAATAATAGACTTGATTTTGTAAAAAAAAAATTATTCTCAACATTATGTATATGAGAGCAATACATGTTTTTCATGATAGTTAAGTTATATAAAATGAGAGTAGTTCACGGAGCGCATCTGGTGTAGTGGTATCATAGTACCCTCCCACGGTACTGACCGGGGTTCGATTCCCCGGATGCGCAAATGGTTTATTTTTGAACTGTCTTAAACGACGGTTCGTTTAACACCATCTTTTTTTTTTTTTTTTTTTCTATTCGTTTAACACCATCTTTAACGTGCAGAAACTTTAAACGTACATTAATTTTGAATAACACCGACACTGCCCTCTACCTACCTTCTCAAATCCCTTTTGCATTCTGCAAATTTCTAACGAGAAACACACCTTCTCGTGAATCACATTCATAAAATTATAGAGCCATTGCTTCCCGCATAATTATTATGTTTGATGCCACATTTTTAATGTGTATATATGGAAAAACGAAGGTTTCCCTCTAGATTATTTCTATTTTTGGATGAAAAAACATGGCTTATTTTCTAGCCATAGGGGACATTGATTAGCCAAAAATGGCATGATCTGGACGAGGGGCCATGAGAGACTTTCTCAAAAATATGCTTTTTTATGATGTCAAATTCTTCCTTAGAAATTCTCGAGAGTTTGTTTGAATATTATATTAGAATTTTAGTATGAACCTGATCTAATATTGGACAGCTTGAAGCTTACTCTTTTACGTAACCATTAATTTGTTTTAACCCATTAACGTAAGATCTCATCAAATTCTTTCTTCGAAATCCAGAATTTGTTTGAACACAGGACAAAGTCGATTTTATTTGTAGACATTATTTGATTCCATTGTGAAAACAGGGAAATTTTTTACACTTCTCACGAAATAGGCTTTTGAAAGTGTGTTAATAGAATTCCAAAAGCAATACAAACATCACTTAATTTATCAATGTTAATTTTTAAAATAGAAATCAATGCAGATCAGCATAGGTGAAATCAATGCAAAACACCTTGGAGAGTTGAGTATGCATATCAAGAAAAAATTTCCCTTTTAATCTTTTTCTCCTTGCTTTGTAGTAAGGATTATGAGCTCACGGAGATAAAACAAAATGTAAATGATTAGAAAATATTTTATGATTTTTTTATATCCTGAAAATACATCTATAACAACTTGATATAGACAAATAACATAATGAAACTAACTGGTAGTTATCTTTTTTCCTTGACATTCCCCTTCGAACTTAAGGTTTTCATGTTGGTAACCTTAAATTTGCTTTTAAATGGTAAAAACTGAGGTGCAGAGATGGATTTAGTGTGGAGGTCTGCCACTTGATATTCAGCTGGTAGATGTATCACATGAAGCTCATTTTTCATTACTTTGTCTCAAACAAAGTATAGATATAGCTCAAAATGTTTCGTCCTAGAATGCATAACTGGATTAGCCGCTAGCATGACTGCGCCAAGGTTGTCACAATAGACTTTAGGAGTTGAAGTAGGAACCCTTAATTCTAATAGTAAGGACTTAATCCACTAAACCTCTGCAGTAACTGCTACTATACTTCGATATTTGACTTCTGTGTTGCTTCTAGAGATAACTTGTTACTTCTTAGAGGCTTATAAGATGGGATTAGGACCTAGATACACCACATATCCAGTTGTTGATTTTTTGTTATTAGGGTCAGTTTTCCAGTCTGAGTCAAAAAACTTTTAATTGTCATTTCTCTACTTTTGGTTACATGTAAACCATGAGATGCATTTCTTTGTAAATACTGTAAGATTCTCTTTACTGCCTTCCAATGATGTTCTTGAGGGCAGTGCATAAATTGACATACTTTATTTACTGAGAAGGAGAGTTCTAGTCTTATGATTGTCAGATATTGTAATGCTCCTACTATGGATCGATAATATGATGAATCAGGGACTGATGTAAGTTTAAGACCAGCTACCATTGGAGTAGGTTGTGGTTTAGAATCACCCATGTTTGCTCTCTCTAAGAGTTCTCAGATGTATTTTGTTTGAGTAAGCAAGAGACCACCTAAGGGTATATGTTGAACTTCTACTCCCAAGAAGTAATGGAGAGGGCCCAAGTCCATGAGAGAAAATTGTTTATTTAGCATGTTGATAAGTTGTTGAACTTCTAATGTTAAACTGCCAATAACAATTATGTCATCCACATAAACCAGAACTAGCATTGTGGATGTAGGGGTGAACTTCATGAACAAAGAAGTGTCACTCTTTGCTGATTGAAATCTTATCTATTTGAGGCATATGCTGAGTTTAGAG